AATATACGTAATAAATACGTAACTGCCGGATTTTTCATGCAGCAGTAACGCGCGTCTTATGCGTGTACATATACCCAAAATAACCGATAAGCCGGACAAGAAATGAAAGTACGTATATTCGTGGGGCAAAGACGGCGACTTCGGGCGGACATTTCCACGCGTGCGGGGCAGCAGCAGTGTCCCATAGAAACGCCCGAACATTTATCAGACTCTGTAGATTTATATCCTAATACTGAAATAATAAGTACGGTCCTAGATGTGTCTGGTGTATACCTACACAGCCACGGTTATCCGCGACAACGTCGTCGTCGTGGCAGCAAAATAAATTTCGAGGGACAAAATAAAACGGAAGTATAAACGAGACCTGTTGTCTGTACATACAACATATACTTGTATATATATACAGCTGGTGCAGCTTGCCAGAAGAACTATATAATATTATATCCGATTTATTCGCGGGGGTTGGAAATAGTCGGAAAGAATAAATAAGTATTGTGCGTTTATCCCCCGAAAGCGGAAAAATTCTGTCCCGAGTTTCGGCAATTTTTTATCGGATCATCATCTCCGGAGCGGTCGCCGCCGTTTTGTCTCGTTTAAAATCGCGGCCCTGCAGGTTTTCGCGCGAAATGTGTCCGGAAAGAATTATGTGACCCGGAGCTGCAGAGAAAAAGTTTGACCGTATAATATATATGTACGTATCCAGTTGTGTTGTACACGCTGCACACAAACTTGACCAAATGGGCTTTGATTTCTTATCTTTTTGACTTTTACGAATTATACGATTACCTACCTACCTATATATTATAAAAAAAAACAACACACACATTAATGTAGTGTTAATTCTGAGGAGGTGCGTGTATCAAATTAAGTAGGTATAACATTGTATACATATTTAATAATGGATTAACCGTGAAATTCGCATCATAAGTGTATTAAATAACGAGGCTTATACTCAAACTCCGTTATACTTTCCTACTGAAGGTAATCGTATTAGATTTCATACTTTCGTTCTCTAAAAAATATAATATGATTATAAACTAACATATTTTTTACCTCTACAAGCTTTACAACAAAAAATTGAAATAAAAAATAAAGGTAAGATAATGGGGACGGGTGTAGCCACTGGTGTAGGTGAGAAGTTAGGAAGGTAGGATAAACGGAAATTTAATGTATATCCGTAAGCAACGATAAACCATTGCTTACGAAAAAATGATTATGAACGGAGTTCAGTTTATAGTGATGCTTTGTCAACAATATATATGTAATTTTGTAGTAAAATAATTAAATAGGCTTTACATATTTTCTTTAATATAATTTATTTAATGCTGTACCAATTTTCCCAGTTTTCCTACGTTTTATCATGATTTTTCACATTTGCTGGGAAAACTTTTGAGGAAATCGAAAAATTACTTTCCTTAAGCACGCCATATTTCTTTCAGAAAAGGTGCTACACGTAATAATCCGAGCAAGTCTTCTGGTAAAAAAGTTATGCACAGATAAAAAAAAAAAAAAATATCTTTGTAAAACTATAAGCTTCTTTGCTCCTCTCAAAATCTAAAATAAAACAAACACAGAAAGCACTCTTTCTTTACAGTAGGTTATTCGATTCATTAAACGTCTATACATATTTTATTGATAAAATGTAAACATACTATTTCACTGATTCACTTGATAAAGTTTGTTTGTTAATTATATTGAACCAAAGGAGATATAACGCTTTGTACTTTTATACACTTTAGGAAAAAAATCCGTACAATAGAAGAAGAAAAAAGTATTGATACTGATGATAACCGATTTCTGATCGTAAAGTTGTTTCCACACACAAAAAAAAAAAAACACACCACAATAAAACCAATAGATCACTCTCTACGCTCAGCATTGAATACACATTAGATAATATTATGATAAAAGATTAAAACTTATTCTTAGTTTGCTTCACCCAGAATTTAATATAAATGTTATCCTTTTCTACGAAAAATCGACATTATTTTGCATTAAACTAGGTACATAGGTCATGTGAATTTTTAGTTATAAAATTACCCTTCTTCAGTATACGAAGTTTAAAGCATCTATATGTCGTAGCCACTTCGTGAAATCTTCGTGAAATTGATCATTTTTTGAAAAAATGACCATTTCATGAAATGTTCTCGGCCTTTTTACACTCCATGAAAATCGAAAATATTTTACAAAATGGTCACTCCAATTTAACATCGCATTATTTTTTTTACAACGTGGTCGTTCACTTTGTGTACTAAAATACAACATTTATTACACACGTCCAGTCCGTTAATTACGTGGCACGTGCCCATGTCAAATAAAATAAATACTATCTATATTATATACGGCTATTAAACTGCAATTACCGGACTATTCGAAATGTGTAGGTAATATTTATTGGTTTTGATAAGTCATAAGCATAATGTCAAAAAAAAGCTGATACTGGGGATGGGAGCGGCCTCTGTTATATGTGAGAAGTTGGGAAGGTAGAATATCTAAGGTTAATTGATTTTGTGTCCGTAAACAACGGTAAACCATTGCTGACGAAAAACGATTTCGAACACAGTTCGGTAATACACAATTTGAAGTCTAGAAGACGTCCGTGTTTTTATAAAATAATGAAATCGTGAAATTGTGTACATTTTCCTACGTTTTCTCCCACTTACGTGCTTTTATTTAAAAAATGGCGTCGAAAATCAAAAAATGATCTGTTTAAATTAAAATCTAGACAACTTGAGCTTTCAGCAAAATTGCAAGTTTCAGCATGTTTACTAGAAAAAAACGTGGACACAGACTAGAACAAAGAAGAAGAAAAAAAAAATAAACAGCAAACTAAAACCAATAGCTCCCTTGCTACGCTTGGAATCTAAAATGTCAAAAATGGTCTATAGAATTAAAGTTTGTTCAATTCCAGAAAAATTCTTCACATCATCGGATAATAGGCTGCTCCATATAAATTATTATAGTCATTATAGGAACTACACGTAGTCTTATTAAAGGATGGTTCAATTTTGGAAATATGCAGCATGCCACTACAAATTTTATTTTAGCTGAACAGGTTGACAAACAAAAAGAATTAACCTTGCGTGAAGCTGTCCAAGTTGTATCTAGAATTCAGAGGTTCTAAAGTTGTTCATGTAAAAGTGCTTATCAGACCAAAAGACGTGTATATTTTAAAGGTAGTTTAAATGTAACAGTCGTTGTCACAATTCATTTTCCTGCTCTAATAAATAAAAAATGATAATAATATGGATTAATATGATATAAATAGTTATAAATATACTATGCAATATGTATAATAACTTTACTTAACTTTAGATAAAAATAACTTACATGTATGTTTATGAAACCTTGTACTTTGACAAACTTGACGTGTGCAATAAATGTTGTATTTTAGTACACAAAGTGAACGACCACATTGTGAAAAAAATTACACGATGTTAAATTGAACTGACCATTTTGGGAAATATCTTCGAATTTCACGAAGTGTAAAAAAGCCGATTCCTTTACATGAAATGGTCATCTTTTCATAAAAAAGATCAATTTCACGAAGTGGCTACGACATATATACCTAAGTTGCTCAGGTTGCTATTAATTAAAAGTGAAAATCACCTTATCTTATGTTCATGGGCAGTGTCAGTTATCTTAAAAAACATAGGTTTAGCGAAATATAAAAAGTGACAATTCACCAAGGAAATAAGTAAGGGGGGTTTGGAATGTTTAAACCCCCTATTTTTAAATGACTATACAGTAGTTCGTTTGATAATTCACTACGATTATAAATAACTTATACCTACGCTTCAGGCCCACCCTTGCCAAATTACTATTTGTAACGGTAAATCTGATATTAGTGTTATGCCTTATGCATATTAAAATTTAATTTATTTTTTAAAGAAACAAGAAACGGAACGCATTTTTTTTTTTCTTAAAAAAAGAACGAATTCCTTTTTATAAGGAACATGCCGAATACTGATTACGTCTAAAAAATCAAATTACCTTTCAGAAAGTGTGTTACACTCTACACAGTATACATCGGAGTACAATTTTGGATAGACTAGTTGTTCATAAACAGAAAAAATACGAAAAAAAAACACGCATAATATTACTAAAAGATCCTTCGCTACGGCCTGAATCTAAAATGTATTAAGTCGTAAACATTTTAAATCAAAGACGTAATAAATGTATAGACTTTGTGAGGTATTAATTTTACATCACCAGTGTTTTTTGCTCCATTAAAAAACTTTTTGTTGTAGAAAAATTTTCAACAAGTTTTGTCCAGTGCCTTTTATATAGATTGCAAATTGAACAAAAAAGTGTTGGGTAATTTCCAAAGTAAGTATCTGCTTTAAAAAAATAATTTTCTGACTTTCTCAATAGTCTTTTTAAGTGGACGAAAAATAATGTCGAACAACCTGAATAATTAACGACACGCCTGTAATTTTAAACAAAATCGGTTTAGTATAACTTTTCCGTATGTACCTAATTCGAAAAACTCTCCTTCCTGGGAGTTTTGACATTTTTATTAATTATTATGTTTGGTAATGTGTCAAAAGTTCTTTATGAATTTGAAAACGATTATCGGTTATCTATTATTTATATTTTATGTACCTATTAATTTTACATATTTGGCACGATAGTTCGAAAAACCTACCTAAGCAGTATCGCAGGTTGAAGCGTTATACTTGAATATTTTTTATTTTTTTTCTAATAGCACCTGCCACCTAGCAAATTTATGGGAGAAATTTGACGAAAATGCTAAGCCACCGCACAAATATAGACCAATAGTGTTCACCTATGATAACACCAAAATAATACAATATCGTTTATGTAGGCCAATGAGTAAACAAATAAATGAACAAATAATAACACGAATCATTTACAACTGGACAACTCGTCATCGTTTCGTGATAATCGATTGTTTGGTTGTTACTTGTACGTGAAAGCCGAAAGGGAACACTGCTACATGCTACTTTATGGTTTATTCCATGATAACACGTATCAAAAACTACGACACGCTGATACTCTGATAGTGATAATCGACGAAAGGGGCATTTAAAACTCGGTACATTTTTCATATTTTTATTCTTTGATATTTACGTTGTATCATCTTATTGAAAATGGACTGCTCGTTGTTGGTAAGTTTGTTTTCAGTATTGTTCAGCCGGTTCTGATAGATTTTATGAAAATATTCATTTACTACTCAATATTAAATATTGCAATGAAACGTTTTACATAGGAACCGACGTTGTACACTGTCAAAGGTATGGCCATTTTGGACAATGATGGAAACCGTATACTGGCCAAATACTATGACGACAATATATTTCCCACGATAAAAGAACAAAAATCCTTTGAGAAAAATCTATTCAATCGCACACACAGGGCAAACGCTGAAATCATCATGTTGGACGGAATAACGTGTCTGTACAAGAGCAATGTGGACTTGTTTTTTTATGTCATGGGTAGTTCACATGAGAATGAAGTATTTGGCCTCTATTATAAGCACATACAATGTATTCATACACATTTATTGTATTTATGTTTTAGTTACTGTTGATGAGTGTTTTGCAATGCATGTACGATTCAATTAGTCAAATACTTAGGAAAAATGTTGAAAAGCGTGTAGTGCTTGACAACTTGGATGTTGTAATGTTGGCATTGGATGAAATATGCGATAATGGGTAAAGTAACATATTTTTAATTTTTGAAATACTATTGTAGTTGACACATCAGCATAATTAGAACTTTAATTTTGAAAAGCATCATTCTGGAAGCTGATTCTGGAGCTGTTGTACAAAGGGTTGCATTACGAACTGATGATATACCAATTGGAGAACAAACAGTTGCTCAGGTGAGTTTTTTTTTTAAATAACAAAACAATCATGAAGTTTTATTTATTTTTTTTTTTCTTAGGTTTTCCAATCAGCAAAGGAACAGTTGAAATGGTCATTATTAAAATAGCGTTTAATTTGTCCAAATCTCTCGACTTTGAGAGATTAACATAATGTACAATAAAAATATTATACATTTAAACCATATTTCCATTATTTATCCATTTATTGTTTACATAATAATATTATAATATATATAACTTTAATTTATTCATTAAATTTATAGATGAGCTTGTGAAAATTTTAGTTTTTTTTCTAACCAATTGGCAAACTGTAACAATCGTATGTCATCAAAATTTGAAGCCATTATTTGTATGCCGATAGGCATCTTATCACTTGACAATTTTACTGGTATAGTTATAGCAGGACAACCTAGAACATATTTTTTTTTAATAATATAAGAATTATTAATAAACAATAGTTTAATAGTGTTTAAACCAATGATGGATAATGATTATTTATCAATTAAAAATGGATAGTTATAATATACACTGTTTAAAAAATTTATTTAAATAAGAAAAAACTCTTAAGACTTAATAAAGCAATTTTACAGAATATATTTTTAATTGTACACAAAAGTTAACTAAAAACCACCATTAGTTTACATTATACATTAAACTTACCAGCCATATTCGCAGGTTGGGTACAGTAGTCTTGTGTAGCACACTGTGTGCGGTTATCTAAAGACTTATATTCAGACAGTAATGGAGCTGTAGTTAATGTGGTGGGTGTAACTAAAAAATCATAGTTTGATTTCCATATTTGTTGAAAATCATCTGATATCAACCGTCTTACTTTTAATGCCTGCATAAAATACTTTTCATAATTGCTAAAAAAAAAAAAAAAAATATATTATCCCGTTAAAAACGTTCATATCAATCATTTGGGATATCTTTTCATATGACTGTTATTGTAAATTTATTTTTGTCTCGTTTTAACTTTTACTTTTATTATTATAGACTAATTGGCTTTTTCTAAGGATTTATTACCAAGGAAAACTATCTCATGTCACAAATGTATGCTAAAATGTCACACTTCATGTTCTGGAGTTGATATTCTCAAAATTGACAAAGAAAAATGGGTATGTGATAATTGCAATATTAAGCGTTTTACGAACAGGAAAAATCGTCTTAATTTTGGTAGTCAGAATGTAACTAGTAAAAATAATTGACCTGATGATTTAAGTATTTTAAATTACTCTGTTAACAAAATACTGCTTAGGTTAGATAATCTAACTTCGTCTCATTCAGCAATTGAAAAATTGATTTTGTTTCTATCTGATAAAATTGATTAATTTAATAAGAAAATTGATAATGTATTACTAAAGTTGAATGAACAAGATAAAGGATTATTGAAGTTGAAAACAGTTTTTTTTTTTAACTACAACAAGAAGTTAAGCTTCTTAGAAAGCTTCAGATTTATTTACAATATACCTAATGAATAGGTTACGAGTAGTAAAAATCAGTGGCATTTATAATGATGCTCTAATAACTAAACACGGAATCCCGCAAGGTACAGTTCTTGGGCCAATTCTATTTATTATTAATATTAATGGGTTGTTGGATATTAATATAAATGGAACCATTCTTGCATATGCAGATGATACAGTAATTTTAATTAAGCAAACAATGTGACTGAGTTAAAAGAATTGTCTGTTTCTTATTTAAAAATAGTTAATAATTGGTTGGAAAATAATATTTAAGAGCTTAATTTAAATAAGTATAGGTATGTTTTTTTTTTTTGTTTGTTAAATGCATCTCTAAAATTTACAGAACTTCTAGTAATTCATAACTTTGACTGTTCACAGTCTGTGAATTATTCATGCTTAGGTATTCAAAATGTAGATATAATAAAGTATTTGGATGTTAAGTGGTTGATGACAAATTCAAATGGTCAAATCATATACAGCATATTAATATTTTAATTTGTAGACTTTTTTTATATTTTCAAAGAGCTAAGGCATATTCTGTCTCCTTCATAATTAAAAATAGTTAACTTTTCACTTATGCAGTCAATAGCTGGTTTCTGGGGCAAAATATACAATACTTATCTTGAGTGCTTAGAAACTATGATGCGTTGGTTAATAAAAATAATTTTACAAAAAACCTAGGTTGTAACTGACAATTAATTTGTTTTGTGTTTTAAAAGTATTAAATTTAAAAACCCCTTAGTGTAAAAAAAAATAATCTTAAATCTATTTAAAACTGATGTGGAGATTTTTAAACCACATAATATTTACACCTAAAAATTTTAAGTAATTTAAATTGTGTAAAAGTTAATAAGGAATTTGAAAAAGTCAATACTGTTAATGTAAGAATCGATTTATGTAGAAAGTTAAATATGGATATTAGTAGGTTCAAACAAAAGCAATGTCGGTTAACTATTTGTGTACCTTAAATTTAATATTTAATTAACCTTAATTTATAGCAGAAATTTGAGTATGTAGTTAGCTTTAATCTGTAAGAAGTTTATTTTAATAAGTTAAAACTGTTGACTTTTTTAACCTCACTTACCCTAAGCACGAGCTTTGACTTTTTGGGGGATCATCTTTTACTTGTGTATTGTTTAAATTATTTTAGAACTGTAGTACATTTAAATGGCGTAATATATATTATTATTTAAAATAATTAAAATATTCAATAAAAATAGGTACCTTTGTAAAAGGAAAAAATTTCCGCTTAAAATCCGAGACCTGACTACTTCTCCTAAACCTTCCATTCGACTGGCTGTTATTAATGATCCAAAAGATTCATGGTCATTTGTCGATCGATGACCATATAAAAATCCCGTGTACCGTGACATATTGCTGGCTACTTCACAAGCGTTTAACACCGAATATGTAGCTATTGAAACACTAGTATGAGGCATTGAAACCTATTAAGTAACATTAAATTTGTCTTGGGGTAGTTCATAATGAATACAGCTAACTAGTGTTACCTTTTCTACTTTGCTATTAGAATCATCAATAAGGTCTGCAATGAAATTCCAAGTTTCTTTGACTTCGTTTGATAAGTGTTCACAGTGGTATTCTTCAGGTATTCCAATACGACAATTTTCAATTGAAAAATTATCATAGAACTCACGGGTATCCAAATTGGCGTTCACGCATGTTGAATCTTTTGAATCTGATCCGATGATTACACTCAACACAATGTTAACATCTTCAACAGTTTTGGAGATAATACCAGGCGCATCCATCGAATTCACTAGTGGTATCAACCCATGACGTGACAACAAGCCGTAACTAGGCTTGTAACCAACTATACCACAGTATGATGCCGGGTTTCTTATTGAACCACCAGTGTCCGAGCCCAATGCCCTAGATTTTTATGAAAACTGATATTGTAACTATTTTAATTACGCCCAAAATATTACACTTTGATTTAAATACTTACACTGTGCAAACTCCAGAAGCAACTGCTGTACAACTTCCACCCGAACTGCCACCCGCAATGTGCCATTCGTCTCGTTTCGAACACCATACGTTTTTAGTAGGACCGAAAATCGAGTCTACAGTACCGGAACTTCATGAAAAAAATGAAATTTTTACACATATCGGCTCGATCAAAAACTAACCTACCCCATGGCGAATTCGTCCAAATTGGTTTTTCCGATGATTACAGCTCCTGCGGATTTCAGACGTTCTACAACTGTAGCATCATAGGTGGGAACAAAATTTTGTAACATTTTTGACGCGCACGTGGTGGGAACATTTTTTGTGCAGAAGTTGTCTTTAACCGCTATCGGAATTCCTTCCAGAGGTCTTTGTATACCTGAACAGTCGCACGTAATATTAATAATCGTTAATCCGGCAAGTAATCGTTTATTTAGCCACTGGTCTAACCACTTACCGTTTTGAAATCGTTCGTGGCATTCTTCCGCTCGTCGTGCTCCGTCTCCGTTGACATGAACAAATGCATTCAGATGCGATTTGTCTTCCAAACCGGTCAGCGTCTTGGCATACAGTTCGACGGCCGATATGGTCCGATCCCTCAGACGCCTCTGCAGCAACGGTATCATTGGTGCCGGGTGTCCTACGCGTTTAACCGGACACACGTGCACTCCGAATGTTATTAAGGTGTTTATACTTGATTCCGTATTTCCGTAGCAGTGGAAACCAGAAACAGAAAGGCAGGTGCTACAAATTTGATTCGGCTGGAAACATCGAAATCGACGGGTCCGTATTATCTATCGCTATTATCCTTAATAGTTATCACCAACACGAATTAGGATAAGATGTATAAAACACATAGGTATATGGTTACACAAGCACCTGTGCGTACAGCTGGTACCTAATTAATATAAAAACGATCGAGAGCTAACCAAGATTATCATAACTTCAAGTCTTCGTATTATCTTAGCACATATTTTATTTCCTCTATTATTAGATTATTGCCGAGCTGGATAGGATGCCTATAAAACGCCCGAAGTCAAACGACGATAGTTCAGGAATTAACATTCCGGAGTAACGTATTATAACAAGAAAATGATATGAATAGAATTGAAATTTAAGTTTACGGAACTATCGAATCATGGACTATAGTAATCCCGTATTATAAGATTTAAATAAAGTAAAATACATTGAAAATAAAGTCTCCTGCCGTAGAAACTAACGGAATTTCAATATCACTGACTGTAATCGGTTTGGAACTTAGAACTAACGAACAAAAAATAAAAGTACTGATATTTGGGACGGGCGCTGCAATGTAAAGTGCAATGTTGTGGGTGGAAAGTTGGGAAAGTAGTATTTGTAAAAAGCTATTTCATTTATATTTGTACGCAACGATAAACCATAGAACGATTCTAGTTTAGCTCCCACGCGATTATTATTTTCAAAATGTGTGTTCTTGCGTGTACATTAAGAATGTAAAAAAAAAGTCGAACAAACTCCGTTTAGAAATTATGAGGGAAAACTTTATGAAATTCGGGTTTTCCGTTTAGCATATTTTTTTAGTTAGAATCGAACATTTTCAAAATTTTTTTTTTTTTTTCACAAAATTTGTATTTTTGAATGCTTAAATTGGTACAATCAAAATTTATCAATCATACTTACTTTTATAGTTCGTGTACATAAACCTTATAAAATAACATTTTTGGAATTGATCCGAAATGTGGTCGAAAATGGACATTTTTTTTAATTATAATAATTTGTAGTTATTGATATTTTGACGACAAAGTTTTTTTTTTTTATTTATTGAAGTCTAGATGAGTAAGTCTATCTGGCTTAGTTTTGTAGTTATAAACGTTCATCGAACGTTTCGCCGCGCTCACTCGGATGATTATAATTGAAAATAACCCCCGATTTATTGTGTCAATTCACGTCGGGTAAGTAACAAGGAAAAGTGAAAAGCATTAGAGGTGGATTTAGAGACCCAATGTGGTCACTCTCTAAGGTTATTTTCGATTAAAATTTTCCAAATGCGCGCAGCGAAACACGGCGCGTTTGAACGTTTGTAACTCTTAAACTAAGCCAGATAGATTTCTTCCGACTACTATAAAAAAAAAACTGAACTATTAAAATATCAATAACTACATATAATATTTAAAAAAATGTCTATTTTGATCATATTTTGGATTAATTTCAAAAATGATATTTTTCAAGGTTCATGTACAAAAAGAAAAGTAAGATAATAGGGACGGGTGCAGCCACTGATGTAGGTGTGAATTTGAGAAGGTAGGATATAGAAGGGAATTCGATGTATATCTATAAGCAACAATAAATCATTACTTACGAAAAAACGATTCTGAGCGGAGTTCAGTTGATAGTGATGCATTGTCAACAATATACACAGAATGTACCAGAAAAAACTGGACAACTATAAGAATAAGTTTTTTGGAATTTTTTTTATTGTCAAAATTTTGGTTTTACATGTTTTGTTTATAAACTACCCGTATAAAATAAAAATAAACCATATCAAAGAAATTCTTGCAAATTCTCTTACAAAATAAGGGATCACTCGTTGTTTTCCAAAAATAATCATTATCACTGCTATTTTTGACTTATCATGTCCAAAATCGTAATTTTGGTGATACATGCATTTGTATGTAAATTTGTCAGGGGTTTCAATGGAATAAATTATTAATAATTTAATTTTGTAATCAATTGAATAACAATCAGAAATCTGATTAAAAATTAATTTTTTAACTTTTCAATGATATTCAAACATTTTACTTTCACATCTTCCCAATTAATTTTTGAAATGCCTTCACGTTTTTTTCGCAACAAACTAAACGATCTAATTTTTTTTATATCAATATGTTTGTAAAATAATTTTAATTTCACTGAAAATTATTTAATATCAAAGTACATATTATTTGGAAGTAGTTTTTATTTTCCTTGTGATATTACATTTAATTTATTTAAAAATATGGTAATGTCAGTTAAAACAGCAAGATTAAGTAAGTATCCATCTTTTATCAGATAATTGGATATTATTATTTTCTTTTTCATACATAGATATATTTATTTCTTCCCTGAGAGTAAAAAAAACATTTTAAAGCTGCGTCCTTATTTAACCAATAAATGTCCATAAACTAATATCACCTTATTCAGCTTCAATTTCTTCCAAAAACTGTTTACCATTGTCGATCGACCAACCCATCTTTGCTTATATAATTTATGGTTGATACAACTGTATCCATGATATTTTAATTATTAACTATAGATTATCCCATGCCACATAGAATCATTATGCAGGACACAGTATGCCAACTACCGGCTTTAACATCATAAAATCTCACGTTTTTGCAGGATATTGGAGAATGAAAATCATTCTGACTGTAGAACATTGATAAGGTAAGTGAGAAGAAAGAAAAATATACGGGTTATTTTTCAATATTTATTTTTACCCCAATAGCCAAAAATTCAAACTTCATATAACACTACCAGGCAGACAATCTACACTATTAAAAGTATAATGAGTATTTCTTTAGAAGAGTTTGTATTTATTCTCTAGTCAAGAAAGACTCAAAAAAAGTAATTACATAAGTGGTAAAAATGTATGAAAATCTGTTGACGTGCAAGACAGGAAAGTTTAAAATTGGAGAGTAAGAAAATAAAATACACATAACATTTAAACATCCTCGACATTTATTACAAAGGCACGTACATAACTATATATATATTATACAGTAAAACTCCTACAATGTAAAATATTGTAACATAAAAATATGCCACTTACAATATTATCATATTTTCGTGTCCTGTAATATTAAAATACTTTCACATCAAATTCACAATAATAACAATAAAACGTTAATTTCCATAAAGAAAAAAAAAACAAATACATTTATTATCCATAAGAAAAGACCGGCCATGACTAGAGATGGGTGTTGAAATACATATTGAAAATTATTATTACGAGTTTTTGATATTATTTATATATTTTTTTGGAAAAGGGAGGGCTGTTTTTCGTATACGCAAATAATCAAACAAATAAAAATGAGTCATGTCATCATATGATAAAAAAATGAATAGAACTGAAAACTATTATCGGGACACAATATTTTTTATGTGAAAACTTGAACGAAACAAATGAAACAAAGTTTCATTATTAAAAAATAAAACCTACATAAATCTCGACCAGTGATGCAATTACGTAAATCGTTATATTTGAAACTTAATTGAATAAATAATCAACTAAAACACGACAATTATTGCTCTGTATGAGGAGGACCTATAACTTAAAGACACAATTTTTAATTTGCCCAGGAAATGCTCAATATATGTAATGCACTTAATGTCCTTTGCACAAATACAAAATGATTTAATGGAATTCAATAATATCATTTTTGTTGTAATATTGTGACACAATTCACAGAGCAAATTAAAAAAAAAACTACTTTGTAATTTTTGAATATTGGAGTGCTACAAATGATTGTGAAATTAAAGTGCAATAATAATAATAATAATAATAATAATAATAATAATAATAATAATAATTCATAATAATAATAATACAAATAATAATGTTAAAAAAAAAAAGTTAGGGTAAAATAATAAATTAATAAGTGTAAAGAGAATAGCAATGAAGGAGAAACATAGTTTAAACAACAAATAACACTTATAAATAATCATAAATAGTATTTAAACTAGAAGAAAAAATATACAAGACTTTTACTTTTTTTTTGGTTTTTCACCTAAAGGTAATAATTTTCTATTTGTCATAAATTTTGTATTTGATTTCAGACTATCCAATATGATTTTGATTCCCCTATACATTTTTTGTAAAAATAAACTAGACCATAGTAACAATATAATATACATTTTCAACTGTGTTTACATTGCCAATATTTTCTTCATGAACGGGTAAATAATTTTTTTTTTTTAGTTAGGATGATGAGAAATTCATGTTACAATGTCACACATAAATGCAAGAAAAATTATGTTTTACATGATAATTTTATATTTTTAAAAAGAGTTTGTACGTGATGACATTTTGAAGAGACCCAAAAAGAATCAAATACTTGATATATTGCAACTTTTAAATTAATTTTAGTTACTCTTTCATGGGTGAAAATATTCAGAAATGGCTCGTTAACTCCAAATAATGCATTCGATATGTGAGATTTCATTAAACAAAAAAGTAATCTGAAATTGTATTGAAGTGCAATAAAATTTGTCTGTAATATAGATGTTTATGCGTATAAAGTAATATGAATTTCTAATTATCCTGTTTGGTATACATATAATATAAATTAAACAAAACAAGAGATCATTCGAATTATTCTGATACCAATTTTTTTTTTTTGAGAATCAACTAATAGAGGAAATCGATAAAACATTAAATCGTACTATTGAACTGTGATACAGTATTAAAATTACAACTTAAAAACAAGATTACATAAAATATTGTTAGTAATTATAACGATATTAATCTATAAATACTGTTAAATTTTAAATTGACTCTTAAAAAAATTGAAGGGAGAATTATTTATGCTCAATTGATTGTACTTAATTTAAGCAATTATGTCCAAATGTAATTGAAATATTGTTATACAAACATACAAACATTCATTACATTTTATTTTGAAAGAAATCAACTTTTAGGGAAAAAACCCGAGATATAATTTTATGTAGCTAACACAGAGCTCATTCAAAGTTCTTTTTATACTTACTATACAGGGTGATTTATTGGCTTGGTTAATCACTGAAATAGTGGTTGGCCAAATGGAAGACCTATAAGTTCTGTTTAGAACTATAATATTGATAAGAAAAACAGTTAACATTTAGAAGTATAAAAATTTTAACATGACAAAATAATCGTAATAAACCTCATATTGCAACACTGAATGAGTAGTATACAAAATTAATTAAATGTCTCTTAAATTTAAAATCTCATTTGAGATAACACTGATATCAAAATTAAAAAAAAAAACATTCAAACGCATAGGCTTGAATACCACTCATTGTTTCAACATATATTATCAGTACTTGAAACACAGCTTCTTCAATCACCCTGTATGTAATATATATATATATATATATATATATAGTTTCAAAAATATATTTTATATTTAACTAATAACTTCCATATCTATCTAATATGAATAAAGAAAAATATTGCTCCTACAATATATCTAACACCATAGGATAATTTTATTTAAAAAAAATTTCAACATTATTATTAAATTAAAGCCTTGTTTCAACACTAGACTTAAAAAATCCCTTTTCTGTTTTACACTCCCTAATTGTAACAGTATTCAAATTAACTGTTACATCGGTGATAAAAACATTATCCACTACTGGATTGCGTGCAAGCCAATACTCAGGTCCAGGGTTTGCGAGTATTGTCTTGTACTGTAAACGGTGCGTAGGAGTTTCAGCAACAGACGCTGTATCTAGTACCTGGTGTTGACCTCCAGCTCCCTGCGTTACTGCCGTTGCAGCATCTTCTTGTGGCCTGGCCGGTTCCCCAGATGTTCTAGAACTAATAGGTGCTGCAGCAGCCAGTGTATCCCTAGACTTCACACCACTAGTTGGAGTACTTTGTAATATTGCTGTCAAGGTCAGGTGTTGGTTTTCTGGCACTGGGGAATTTGGATTCGTCAGAACCGTCGAAAGTGCATGTTCAGAAGATTTTCTTTTAGGTGTTCTTCCGCCATCTTGGGTAACTATTGGTACTAATGGCAAACTACTATTTCCTGTGTTGTTATTAACATTTGTAGGAGATTGTAATTTGGGCACTTTTGATTCAGATACAGGAGGACTGGTCGTTATGGTGACACCAACTTTACCAGATTCCTTGGACAAGACCTCCGCTTTGCGTTTTACTTTATGAGGTTTAGGTAAAGGTGAAGGTGATTTAGAAGAGGGTTTTGGTGTAGTTGGCATTATTAGCGCAGGTGCAGGTTTCGGCACCGGAGATAATATTGTTTCTTCTTCTCGTGTATCATTAACTTCTACAACTAGAGCGTTTTTTTCTTCACTTAATTTGTCTACATTTGCTTCAACTTTAATAGCTGCATTTAACTTGGGCATTTCTGCCAATGAATCATCATCAACTGTAACAATATAAATTCAAATTATTAATAAACAATTTTACAAAAAAATTTATTTAATTAGTAAGATAGTTAATTTTAATCATTATTGTCATTCACCCTATAATATTATGTATCGTTTTTTTTTTTTTTTAAATGAACCAGTCTCTTCTGAATACTATTATTATTATAATTCTAGCAAGATTGTTATACACCTATAAGCTTTGGATAATTTATATCTCAACAACACAAAGTCATAAAAAATATTAATATTTTTTAATATAATAAACTTTTAAAAATATATTAATTCAACGGATACTAAACAAAAATGATAAAACATTATCTACTCTATCTCTGGTTTCATTTATATCAGGAAAATGTATTATAAATCTACATAAAAATCCTAGTTTTATAATATTTTATTTAAACTATAGAAGGGATGTAAGAATATATTAGTTTTTTTTTTTTTGAGGATTTGATTTTATATGGCAATTAGTTCAAACATCAATATTGTCTATGGATAATAACCTGTAGAAGGGTAAAATGTTTGTTCAGTTGATTAATGTAAATAGTAAAATAATTTGAAACTTACTTGGTTTATCTTCTTCAATTTCATCGTCATGCCTGGGTAATAAAGGTGCACCATTAGTAGACTCCGGTAATACTTCTGCTTCGTCCTGGCTATTATAATCAGGTTGATCACCATCAGCCATTTCATCTTCGTAATCACTTCGAATAGGTTCTGTTGTCGGTGTTTTAACGTGTGTCTAGAATTTTTCATTGTAAAATGAGTTAATATATTAATATTTTTTTAAATATTATTGTAAAGCTTGCATTTAAAGAACTGCAAGCTGAACTTGTATGTAAAAGAACTTACACTTTGAGTTTTTCTTTTAGGACCTCTTTTGTGGGAATTGCTATCTGTACGAGTTTGACTAAAATTAAATACATATATAATAAGTATAAAATATAGTTGATAATAATAAATATTGTAATTTTTAAAAAATTAATAAGTAATTAAAAAGCAAACATTTTAATTTAGTTAAATAGGTACCTTTCTTCAAAAATATCAATAAGTCTTGTATCAATAATGTTTTCTTCTGGTTCCCAAGTATTGTGCCTAAACATTTTTAAAACCAATATCAGTAAGTATTACAGATATTAACCAATTATAAAATTAAATGTATTAGTCTTACTTAGGTCCCCAATTTTTCCATTTTACGTGATATTCAACTCGGCCCTGAAACATGTATAATTATTAGTACCTATACAAATTAACAATAAAATATTATACCTACCTATGTTACTATAGTTTAATAGACGATAGTACCTATAGTTAGAGATAACTAAAACTTTAATGACAAAAAGAAAGTAAAATCCGATTTCACGCAACATTTGATATAATTAATTTCCTATGAATTAAAATAATAGGTACATACATACTTTATTTTGTATTTAAACAAGTATTTAAATGTTATAAACTAAATATTAATATTTCTGATATGAAAAACAGATTTATTAAAATTCATAGTTAACTGTAGACTAGGAAAAATGGTTATGTAAATTAATACCACAACTTGGATTCATTACTATAATTGTCTACTTGTTTATTCAAAACACTTAGGTAACTAATTATAGGTTATTTATTGATAATTCGGCATAATTTTTACCTAAATGTAAAAGTGAAGAAATAATTGTTTGTTTTTAGGTACATAAAATTTAAATGCATGCAACATATTTGAAAAATGTAACTCTCTAGGTGTACAAAGACTTAATCATTAAAAAAAAAAAAATTCAAAATCAAAATAAGCATTTTGCAAAGCTACCAACCATCTCAAGAAGCTTTAGAATAGAACTGCCCAAAAAAAATATAATATGATCAAAAGTTAATTGACCAAGATCATTGACATAGGCATACCTACAAGGAAAACAAATTTAAACTTAAATTTTCTGTAAAATAATTAAGTACCTAAATGGAATTTTTATACAATTGGTGGTACTTAATAATTAGTATTGTTTAGTAAAACATATTTCATTGGAACAATGTACCTATCTTCTGGAATAGCAAAAATTTGTTAAGTAATCAATTAAAAAATAATTTTGAGCACCAAAACTAAAACGAACAATAAAAAACGGATTTTTACGGATGGGATGTGAACAACCATTTAAGAAGAATAGATATCCTAAAGCTTTTGGTAATTTTTTCAAAGGAAATGCATTGAGATCGAGATTGAGATTTATGGGACCAACACAATCAGAACTTTAATTGAAATCTATATAGTAGGTAAATCTCACCTACCAGGAAATACCTATCTATTAAAAATGTCTGATACATGACTTACAAGTATTTGAATGCAAGAACCTAGGCATAGTTAATACCAAAGCCAAAATCTGTGTTGAATAACAAATAGAAAAAACTTTATGGAAAAATCAATAGAATGAATAAATAGGTAAAGCTTCTTATAGCTACTAAACACGACTAATAATAGGCCTATAATTGAAGACAAGACTGGTCACCAGATTTAAAAATTAAGTGCACTAAGTACACAGACTCGGGGAAGAGTCTAACAATCACTAACTTTAGATACTTACTAAGAGGTCAGTTGGTCTAGCATCAAGAAATTCGTTATTATTTTGTGAGACTAGTGCCCAGGACGTGTTGTGAATGGTAATAAGAATCGTCTGAACACAACATACCAGACAACTGTATTATCTATTGATTGAAACTTATCTAACGAGAGTTCGGTCGCCAATCCAGACGCGAAAATATTCCAAGGGAAAACCGAAAACTTTTCGTATTGATCACCGAAGGGGCTGAGGAAGCATAAGTGTACGAATGTAGTGTAGCGACGTGATAATATTTTTCACCGGAAACAGTATTGGAAAAAGTTAACCGGAGGCGGTAAACATCGCGCCGCATGGGCGCGAAAACCGGCGAAAAGTTCAAAAACGGGGGAAAAGGGCGCGCAACTCGTTATCATTACAAACACCCGTACTGCCCCTACAGTCCCACACGATAGCCACGGACAGTTAACTAACCTTTCGAATTCGTCTTTTCATGAGCTTTTCGGCGGCATACACTCGGTCGCTCATTGTTGGTGATTGTAGTTTTGGTGCAACGTAACCGGAAAAAAATTCGAACACTACCGACGGCGGTGGAGGACACACGCGACGGCGACGGGCACTCGCGGTAGCGGCGATGACGGTTACGGCCAACGTTTAACGGCGGCCAACACAATCACAAACGCGAATAAGTCCACAAAGTGGACGGCGACGGACGTACTCTTCCTGGTGAATGTCTCGGCAACGGTCAGCGAACGGCGGGCGGCGGCGGCGGCAAGTGCAACAGTGATCATAAAAAATTAACAACGATAAACGCGTACGTACGATTTTTTTTTTTTTCTTATTGTATATTTTTGAATTCGTTTTTAAGTTTTCGTTTTACGGACGGCAAAAACCCGTACGCGGCGAACGGTCCATAACAATTAATTTCGTATTCCGTTTCGACACGAAAATAATAATAACATGTAAACACAACAAATATTTACGTCGCACACTCACGCACGCGAATCACAACTACGGAATTACAGTGTCACCAACTATAGTGCCGGTGTATGCTGCGGCCGCATAACGACGGGAAGAATAGTTTGAGCGCGGCACCAAACGGCGGCAGTTCACGTCAACGACGGCAAAATGGAAACGCCGCGATTTGAATTCGACGAGACGGAAAACGGCGCGAAAAGAATCGTGCGCACTTTCGATCGGAATTAACGCCGTACACGGTCGCGTTTCCGTCGTGCCAAGCCTATGACCACGGGTGATCGGTCCGTCGAAAATTTCGAACGCCCCGACAGACGGATACGGGCGGCAAGTTGCTGTGCCAGAAAGGGGGGGGGGTAGAAGGGGGGACGGCCAAGGAGATCGCGATATCCGCGCGGATCCGGCAAACTGGTTTTCCGCGACACGCTCGTCGCGCCGCCGTGTACGCGAAACGCTAGAACGTAAACACTACTCACGATCCGATGAACCTTCGCGCGGTTCCGTGTAGCGCGCGCGTACGTAGAGTTACACGTCCGAAACGAATATGTAAAACGTTATACATTGAAAACGAAATATCCCGGCGGGCCGATGAAGGGCACGTCCCCGTTTTCGTGCGCTCGTTATAGAGAAAAAAAAAAAAACGAGGGCAGATGCGTTTCGGTTATTTTTTTTTTTTTTTTTCCCAACGCACGAATACGGAATAATAATAATAATAATATTATAAACCCATCGCCGGTCCCTTGGCAGGTATTATTATTAATAATGAGAAGGCGGCCGGAGAGTGGAGAGGAGAGGCCGTAGGGGCTGAAAAGGAAAGGACAGATGATACGGCGGCGTTCGGCGCGAGCGCGCGTGCGGTTATCCGTCGTCTTCCTTACAAATATTATTATTGTTATTTATTATTACTACGCTCGCCGTGTACCGATGGCAATCCGTTTCGAAGGGCACGTTCAAAACGCGTTGTCGCCGCGCGCGTACGCGGCCCATACCTACATGCACAATGAGACGCGCCCCTTCCACCGCGCAACTCGCGTACAGTACACACTACACGCGGCTACTTACACGGTCCGCGAACAAAACCGGATTCGATTTTTAACGACTATTTTTCGCGCTACGACGGCCACCGCCGTTAAACGGTGTATAGGTATTTATTGGGTACTCTCGGGAATGTACACGCGGTATTATATTATTATACGCGTAAATAACAATATTGGGTATTGTCCGCGCATTATTGCCATTTGTCACGCGTGTTTGATAATAATATAACAGTAGGTGTATGTGTGTAATGAAAGACTGGGCGCGCGCCGTTACGCGCAGGGCTTGTTGTTCGGTGTGAACAACGTCGTCGCCACGATCTGAACAAGAGGCAGGCAGCCGAGCCGGCGGTGGCGGACGGAAAGCAAGCTGTTCACGTGCCGGAACATCTGCCGCCCGGTGTCTGATCAACTGTTGTCGCGACGCCCGCGCGCGCCCGTTGCCGACGAAGAAATTTCACCGCCGGTCAGCAGGACGTCCGTCCGTAGTACCTAATAATAACAATAAATAATAATAATAATATTGTTGTGTAAGAATAAAACGATGTCTGCTGGAGACGTGCCGGTAATAATATTAGGGTACCTTCTCGACCCTGCACCGCTGCCCCAAAAATACCTACACCTACCTGGACACAATATACACGCTCACGTAGACACGTGCGTATAAAATAATAATAATTGGTGTTCCGCCCTTATTATTTTTATGTCTATGCACTCATACATTATATACCCTGTACCTTTCCGGCTAGTTTTTTTTTTTTTATTAATTTACTATTATTCGTATAAACGCGTGTAATCATCTTAGAATATTAAAAAAATATTAAATTGTATATTATTATTTATTGCTATTATTATTAGTACAAGCCCAAGTACAGTCCTGTATATTGTGTAAATATGCACACGGGCGTACCTACCCACCCAGGCCTTCCTAACGGGGGGGGGAGGGAGGCGAAATATATTTTCATCCACTCTTAAAATAGAAAATTCCTTAAAAAAAGGAACGTCACAGCTACAACAATTTTCTTAATAGACAGGGGAATCGGGCTCTTTTATATTTGTAAAATAAGACATTTTTAGTTAATTTAAATATAATGTTATAATGCATGTTACAAAATTATTGTACAAACTCTAACCTCCGGTTTTTCATAGAAGAAAACCTTTCAAAGATATCATCCACTGGTATGGTGTACTTATTTTCCAGTAAATATGCAAAACAGTCGTGCAACTGCACAAGCCCGCGTAAGCGATCCCGGCACATTGTGTAACTAGAAATCAATGATAAGAAACAACGGTCGAACAGTAATATAACATTATGTTCATGGTCGAACCCACGGATAATTTATTATCATTGTATTATCCGTGGGTCGAACCGTTAAAATAAAATGATAACACCAGAAACCTTAATCCGCATTAACCATAGATAACAAACATATTTTAACACCTGTGGATTTTACCGTATTATCATATTATTAACGACTTCATGAAAAAAAATTTCAAAATGATTGTGAAAAACTGAAAATACTAAAATCATATACCTAACAATGCACACATTTATTTCAATAGCCCATGTTGTGTAACAGAGTCGAGATTTTTCCAAAATTTAAATATATTTTTTCGATTGTTTTTAAATCTTTAAACTTACCAGTATTAATGGTGAAGGAGCCAGTGAAGGTCAATGATTTTTACACCTTGTGCTAAAAGCAAAATCCTTCTATCCCCTATTTACATGGTTCCGCCCATTCTTAAAGATTGTATTTATTTTTTTTAACCCAACCATGCCCCTCTTTCCACTAAATATTACCACTTAATAACATTTAAATTTTACCGAGCTTGAAATTTTGCAGCTCGGGAAATCGATCTTTTCGCCCCTTCTCCTCCCCCCCTCCCTATGTGTACCACTCGAACGAATGGGACGGAACATAATGTTATAAATACTATATATGACTTTCTTTATAAGTAGAACATAGGCAGGGGTGGAGAGAGACCAAAATTTAGGTCGGGAGATTAAAATATATACAGGCCACCCTCAAAAATACGTACCTAGGTACTGGCCAAACAAATTTTTCTCGCGTTTAAATTTGAATTAATAGCGAATCCAGGATTTTAAATCGAGAAAACCTAAATACGTTTATACTTAGGGCATGAGCGAAGAGGGAATTTCGATCACTAAAAAATGTAGAAAAATGTTTTCATCAATATGCATTTTAATGTAATATTTTTTAAACGAAAATGTATACCTATTAGATTAACTTAATACGTAAGTATTGTAATTAAAAATTGTATAATATGTTATTTATTGGCATACATTTTTACTAAATGTTTAAATAATACAAGTGAAATATTATATACTAGACCATGATACGATCCAGACCACCTGGATAGTTTCCATTTAAAGACCGGCCATTCCGCCCTTGAACACAGGGTATAAATTAGATAATAATTACTAAATTAAATAAAATAATAAATTATCGCCAAAAAAAACACAATTTCCAGCGGAGTTTTTGATTAAATAGTTTTTCTAAATTAGAATTTAAAATTTCATTAATTTTCGATTACCTACGAAATAATATAACTTTATTGTTGTCGATTTTTTTTTAACAAATTTCATCAAAAATTTCAAACGCTACTAAGAAAAATTGTGATATTGACTTATATTTTTGTCATTATCAGGAAAAACCTCTATAATATTGGGTACCTACAATATGATGATTGATGAACCTTGTTTGACCGTTCTTATGTGGCTGAACAAATACATAAATACAACATTTTCAAATAACTATTGTCTAAATAAATGATTATTTATAGCAGACAGACATAATGGAGAAGATCATAAAGGGAAGACTACAATGAACTCAGTGGACATAAAGAAAACTGGAAGATATCGTAGGAAAATGTTACGGGAGGATCCGAATTGAAAAAGACTCTTGAGAAGACCGCATCTTTCCGTAATCGAAATCACTTAGTTTTATTACCTTTTAGTATTCTTAAGAAATGGGAAAAACTAGCATTTTGTTGATTTCCTTGGTAAAAATGAAAAATACGACTTATCTATAATATTCTGCTCTGAACCATTTGTCGGTAGCAATGATTTAAGATGCATACAGATATAAATTACTGTATACATTTTCCTTTCCAACTTCTCCCTTAAAAGAATAGCACGCCCATGAACGTATTTAGGGGAGAGAGAGGGTCCACGGGGCCATTGGCATTTCATTTCATCACATGTCAAGGGACCGTCAATAGATAGGTACGTCATAATTAAAATGAAGTGAAAACTCTTCAAATTAATAAAAATGTTTTTTTTTTTAAATATCAATCCCATTCCACAGTTCTCACTCACTTAGCTGGATCTAAAATAATGTGTCTAGTGAACAGTTCGAAATTCCAATGTTATCTTATGAAAGGACTAGAACGATACCTACGGTTAAAAATGAAATTACATCTCTGGGTACACCCACTAGCAGTATCAGCATTTGTTTTTAACTAATATAAAATCAGAATTCGATTGTATATTGAATATTAATTAAGTTCTTATGTATATTATGTGTACCCATATTAATTTAATAGATTTAATCATAATAATATTAAAAGTAAAATATTTTAATGGCATAGGTAGGTATGTACATTGTGTACATTTTACAGGCATTTATATCGCGCAAAAGATACTAGATATATGTGCACAGCATTCCAGATGATAGTGTATCAATGGTTACTATTACAAATAAAAGGGTCAAAAGGTAACAGAGCATGCGCCACCGCAGTGTTCGGGCGACTCCCAAAATTGATTGTTCCGTCTCGTTTTTATATATTATTTTCCTTTCAAAATTGTTCATAACACAACAAGTGTTTTTACAGACATCATCGACTTTTAGCTATACCTAGATACAAACAGGGGAAAAATATGTCGCGTCAATTATTTTTTTACCCATCACCGTTACGACGACGGCCGAAACACCGCTATAGTTTTTGCAATTTAAATTCGAAAGTTTGATGTCAATCGATAACGCGAAAACTTCTCGACGATGAAAAAGGTAAGTGGGCAGCTATTTTATGTAATACCAATAAATAATTAAACGGTTTATTTCACGTATCGGGCCTACAGACAAATTTGTTTTCTAAAACCAGATGTTACAATAATAATATTATGTAGCTATGTAGTATTTGGGTGTGATAACTCTAAAATTAAAATTAAAAAAAAATACATTCTACAATTTTAGAAACGCCGAACACCAATATTGATAGATAACGTTGTCTTATTATAATGTAGGCAATAATACATTGGCTTTATGTTTCTATAAATAAATTATAAATATGATATTTCGGTAATTGTGTATAATAATTATATAATATTACTTGTTTGAATATTGTCGATTAAATTTATAAAACGGTAGGCAACTAAAATCTAACACATGTTTAGACGGGTACCGATTTATAATTTTTGTCATTATTATCTGCATGATATTATAATATTACTGTGCCGATATATTTTACAAGTAATTTATACATAATTGTACGTGTAATATAGCGAAAAAATTATTTTAATAAATTATTATTTATAAATAAAACAAGTCAAAATACCAACTATTTGTAGTTTAAAGATACTACAATATTTAATTTTAAATTTTAAACTAGTACTTTATACTCATTAAATTGTAAATTAAGGAATGCATATAGGTAGGTAAACAAAAAATAAAAAATAAAATAAGGTTGGCAGGTATAGAAAAATAATTTAAATAAAATAAATGTTTACAAATGCTAAAAATCGAATGTAAAGTATATTTTGATACCTACATTTGTTTTACATTGGCCAGTTAGCCTTCCTTGCCTTCCAAACTACAGATATATTTGATTATACTTTATTACATTTAAAACGTATTTAATATGGTGTTTCTATATTTTACTAATAATTTGTACAATTTTATCTAAAATACTATTAATATTTCGTTTCCTGTAAGATTATTATACTAATACTATTTATTTTTTTTAGATAAAAACGCCAGTATTAGCCATGTCATTAGATGACAACATAAGTGATGACGTATTTGAAAGTATTGAAGAGGCTGAAGTTAACCAAAACACCAAAAATCTATCCACCACAGACCCGAATTATGATCAAAGGCCTTCACCGACTGGGTATAGGGATTATAAACCTCCAAGTACCACACGAAAGCCTTCAGATCCATCTTTAAAAATTGTACACAAGGTAGGTACCATTTAGCATTATTATAATAAATCATATATGTACTGTATACAGTTCTTAAAAGAATTTCAGTATGTTTCATTATACTTACCGTTTCTTTTACTGTAGTTTTAAATTAATGTCAATATAATATTGTTTTTGGTTTGTACAAAAAAATATATAACTAGGTACCTATCATATAATTGTTTGTATGGCAATCATGTGTTAGATTGTAAATGTGTTATGTTGGTCAAATTAAATAGAACTTTTACTGACATAGGTAATATTTTTTTTTTCAGACTATATTATTAGGTGACAGTGGAGTGGGGAAAACATCACTATTGGTAAAATTTGACACTGGAAAATTTCAGACTGGCAATTTTGCTGCCACTGTTGGTATAGGTTTTACAGTAAGTACCTACAATATTTTTTAAATTAGATTAAGACTATATTGTATAAATATATTTATACATCCTTCATATTTCCCTGAATGATGGTAATTTATGGTATATTTAGGGTTGATTTAGGATTGTGTTAATTAATATTAATCAATAATCAAATATTGTAATTTATTTTAGTGTCCCAAGTATACTTTTAGAATGTGGTTTACTAAACATTATATCATAGCTCTTGACGACAAATTAAACAAATTTGAAATTACAGTAGAGACTCAGATTTGATACTTATATATTATACATCCATTAGGGATTACATTAATAAATCACTACATTATTATCATTTATCATACATTTTATTTTATGAAATAGAATTTATTTATACTTTTAGTTTGTATTGGAAAGTATTTAATTGAACTTTCTTTATTTGTTGTTATATTATGTCATTTAATTTTGTCTTACATATCTTATTAATTTAAATTCACCTAAAAATTGGACTCTGCTCTGCACAGCCATTGGTATGGAGGTGACCGACTCTTTGATCATACCTTATGTAATTTTATTGTTATTTTGTATAGTTGGTTGGGAATTCAATAAATATTATTATTATTATTATTCACTTTCTTAGAAAATAATAAAATAAACTCCAAATATTTTATTTATGGTAATTTTAAATGTTTAAAAATAGTTTTTTTAATTTTTTTTGAATTAATAAGTGTTATGTGATGTAAAAATAATAACTTAAGTGTTTTTAAACTTATTTATTATGATAATTTAGTTTTAATTAAAAGTATATATTTTATTCAACAAATTTAATGTTTATATCTGGTGTTTTAAACTGATAGGTACCAATGTTCTACTAAGTTTTAATTTCACAATTATTGTATACAATTATATCAGCTAACTATGTAAATATTATGCTATACTAGTTTGCCCTATAACCTAAAATATATCTTGATGTAGTAGGCAAGGTTGGTTGTAAGTTTTAAGTACCTAGATTTTAGACTCTAGAACCATTAGTACAAAATAACAGTAGCTTTGAAAAGGATGTAAAACATAAGATTAAGTGTGGTTAGATCAATTGGATAAAAGCATTCGGTGATTTATTTGACAAAATGATTGCAATGAGACTTAAAGGTAGTTAAGGAAGTTCTATAATAGTGTAGTAATATTAAATATGTTATATGGTTTGGAATGTTAGATGGTAGACAGAAAAAGTATAGTGGAGATTATAATGCATAGGTTGTTCAATGAAGGTACGAGGGAAGATAAGGTAAGGGGAACGAATATATAAGAGTTAGCATAGGATTGGCTATGATAGTGGACAAAATAAAAGAAAAGGGACTTGAATTAGAATTGTAATAAAAATAAACATTGAAGGAAACTGGGAAAGAGGAAGATCAAAAAAAATAGTTAGATGTGATTGTGAATGGTCTGAGAACAGCCAGTGTATGCAAAGATATTGTAGGAGACCAGTTCAAGTGAAAGTTTAAGACGAGGGTAGCTGATCCCAAATAATTAGAATGAAGGCGAATGAGGGGTATAGATAGGGTAATTTTAAGTTTATATACTGAATACAATGATAAATCATTGTAATTAGTGAATGATTCTGAGATGTTAGCTTTGACATTACTAAATTTTAGATTCTGAGTGGACCGTGGAATGTATTGATTTTACAAAGATTTTTTATTTTTTTTTATGTGAACACTTTATTTACCAAAAAGCATACTTCGATTATCAAGTATAGCGTTGAAAGGAAATATTCTCCGGATGGTACTTTAGAGAGGTCATTTTTTGAAATTGTCATTAATATTTAAGATATTGAAGAAAATCTGGTTCTTTAGGTTGAAAAAGATTGAATGATTAAAAATAAGGTTTTTATTGGCAACCGTTTTTATTTATTTTTTGTTATTATTATTTTAAAATGTTTTGTTTTTTTATTGTTCTCATGGAAACGCACACTGTTGTAATCATTTTACTATAATATTACATATATATATATTGTTGAAAAAGTAACATTATTAACTGAACTCCGCTCAGAATCGTTTTTTCGTTATCAATGGTTTCGTTGCTTGCAAATATACATTAAATTCCCGTATATATCCTACCTACCCAACTTCCCATCTATAAAAATGGCTGCACCCACGTGCAAAGTATATTCTTCCTTTTTTACTTCTGTTCATTTACAAACTGTTATATTTTCAATATACGTGACACACCATTGTTATTTATTATTTATTATCGTTCTTTTTCTTTTTCTTTGCTTTCATCTCAACTGTTTGGGATCGGTCACCCTCGTTCATTTGACCCAATAACTATCACCTCATATACACTGACCGTCCTTATATTATTCTCAATTATGTCCAATTATTTTTTTCGGTCTTCTCTTTACCAGATTACAAACATTTCATCACAATTCTTACTGCTTCCAATTTTTTCTTTTTCCATGTCCACCCATTCGTCAATTTTATTTTATTTTGTCCACAAAGTTACGCCTAACCTCTTATGTACTTGTTCCTTATATTTCCTCGTCACTTTATTCGACCACCTCTAAGCATTCTCATCTCTGCTACACTCATTCTATTTGTCTGTCTACCGCTCAACATTCCGAACCATCCAATATAGTCAATCTCACCATACTATTATAGAACTACCAACCTTGAAATCTTTTTGTCAAATTAAATACCTGACGACTCTCTCTACTTGATCCAACTACACATAATCTTATATTTCACATCCTAGTCAAAGCCATCCTTCTTTTAAATAAAAGATCCTAGGTTCTTAAAACTTTCAACCTTGCCTATTACCTATGTCACCATTTATTATCGTTGTCTGTCTTGTCCCGTTCTTCCAAATTCATGTATTATATCATGTACTCTGTTTATAAACTATAAGCTCCCCTGAGGTGAGTTTTTTTATTTTTATTTTTGGAATTATTTATTAAATAAATATAAAAATTGGTTCTTCTTGCTCAAAATTTTTCCGCACGATGCTGAATTAGACGTGAATAGTAATTTAGAGTTATTAACATAAGCTATTATGATATAACATATTAATGACACGATATTAACCATAATGTATATTATGGTAATAATATTACCATACATTATAATATACTACCTGGCTAGGCACCACTTTTCGTGAAAATTAACCGTCATGGTCATGTTACATAGGTAATTTGCGCGAGTCGGTCGCAGGCACTTAGTACTAAACTTTCTGTTCCCATTAATTATTTAATATTTAGCTTTTATATGTATTGGTATATATATTGTATACCTACACTTATTTAAATTATTTATTATACCTTCCCTACTCGAAAGTTATTGGATTTCGATGAATAGATTCGAGAACTGTTATTTGATAGCTATCGAGCGTATATTTATACAGTTATACACAAGTACTTAAGTAAACAACTTATAGGCATATACCATATTTCTTTTAAGGTATTTCGAGAACAATTTTTTAAATTTGTGTTAAACAAAAAAAAGATTCAAGAGACAATTTGAGTATAGGTTCATCAAAGTTAAGTATTATAAGTACAAAATCTAAGGAGTAAAAGTAAAATACAAATCGAATATAAAAAAGAATTCCTAGCTATATATATATACGTAAAACAATAAAAATATTATAGTGACATCATAAATCTTTACCAAAGTGTTTAACCGTTTTTTATTATTATTAATTTTTTTGAAATGTCTGCAAGTTGAGGTTGACGAATGATTTTTAAAATTAATTAAATTCCTATAAATATTATACAGGCTGTCCCACGAAAATATGCCCCTTGAATATCTCCGGAGATAACAAAGATAACCAAATTCTGTTTTTTTTATATTACTCACAGGAAAGGTTATCTAGGGAATAACCTAACTGTGTTATGCAATGTACAGCCATTGTTATAGATAATTTAACGTATACCTTTAAGCAATGATAAACTATTGCTAATTAAAAAACAATTCTGAGCGGAGTTCAGTTGATAGTGATGCTTTGTCAACAATATATATGTCATATTAAAGTAAAATAATTAAATAGGCTTTTATATATTTTCTTTAATAATATTTGTTTAATGTTGTACCGATTTTCCTTCGTTTTTCCCGGTTTTAATATATTAATATATTCTCGCAATATATTTTAACTAATACTTATATTTCTTATATTGTCCCGTTTTTTTTTCGGGTTTTCACATTTTTTGAGTAAATTCTTGAGAAAATCGTAAAATGATCTCTCTGAAGTACCTCCCCTGTCAGATTTACTTTTAGAAAAAGTGCTACACCTTAAATCGAAGCAAGATTTCTGGTAAAAAAGTTGTGCACAGAAAACACAGAAAAAATAACATCTTTGTAAAACCATAACCTTCTTCGCTCCACTTAGAATCTGAAAACCGAATACCTATAGTATGTAATATATTATCATTTCCCCCCTCCTTCCCAAAAAAAACCTTAACTTGCAAGTAGGTAGTGGCGTGCTTAGGAATTTTCATTAGAAATGGATGCAGTAAATAATATCATTGAGTGTAGATACTATCTACCACAATTATAATATCTATGATTCATGAAGAAATCGTAGAATCTGTGTCTGTTATGCCTAATCCAACATCCGCCAGTGATAATATTTTAATATCCGGATCCAAAAAAGCCAATATTTATTCAATAAATCAAGTTTTTTTTCTTTGTAATTTGGCTAAAATATAATAATCTGAAGACAAATATATAAATACTCATAAACATAATTGTATTTTTAAGCCGATGGGAGGAGGATATACGATATTGGCAACCCATAAACATCTTCCCTTGCGCACACCACTGTTTTTCCCACATTATAATCTAATACCATCATAACGATAAACAATTATAATTATTATATTTAAACCGATGATTAATCGTATTAAATTCGCTTATATTGTGTATTTACTAGAATATTCGATAATTATTAAATGTTAAATAATCAGTGCGTAATTTCCACGGAGTATCGTTTATGCAGGGTTCCTCGTCTCCTAGTTAAACTACAGTTACTTATACTGACTATAATATTTTATTATCAGATTTAAACGAGCTTTGTTTAAATCAATTACTATCTTTAATCGTGAATATAACGAACATACTTTGTGTCTATATACTATGTACTATGTAGGTAATTTCAAATTTGTGACAACAGCTTATTTTAGTTATTATTGTTCTGACGGTATGTTAATGTAACTATTAGTAAAATATTTTGAACTTTTACTTATATTTATTTTGTATATTTTTAGTCAAAACGTCATATAAATAATATAAATGTGTAAGGTAAGCGGTATATAAAAGGTGGGATAATTTCGGGTGTTACAACCTTCATAGGTTTTTTTGGTATGGAAACCTGTCAAAAGTTAAAATTGAACTAAGAAGTGTGTCCCTTGAAATAAGATGTATTTTAGACCCTGCAATGCATAACGCATCAACATCTCCCATCGTCCGTATAATTAATTATTAAATTATTCATGAGATATTATGTTTACATTATACTAGTATAACACAAAAGTGTAAATACACTTGTGTAATTTTAGTATTTACATTATTTACTTAATTCACTTGAAAAATTACTCGTAGTTAATGTAATTGTGAACGTTTCGGAATAAGGTACTTTACGCCCTTTTTTCGTTATCTTTCGAATCGTTAAATAACAAATACAATAATATAATAATACACTATAGTACCTACTGTAATGTAAAAATATATACGAGTACAAAATAATAATACCGTTTAGAAAATATACAGGTACAATTAGTTTTAAATTAAATATATCACCGGGAAGTACCTATATTATTTCATTTCTACGCCAGTCATCGGATGGTTTTTTTCTACTTGTTAGAAACAAATTAAATAAAATGTCCTATACATTTCGTAGAATCCTGATCTTTTAGTAACTATATAAGTATATCACTGTATAGATTTTCCAATAATGGTCAGTGATATGTTTGGTCAATATTAAATTGCATCCGAAAAAAAATAAGTAGAACAAACCGAAAGGTTGTGTATATAAATGTCGATAGTAATATGTAAAATTCAAGAGTTTATTGTTATTTATCCATTTAAAATGTAATTATTCCAGTTATAAATTACTAACTTTGTTTCCTTGTATTTCCAGTGCTTGATTCTTTTAAAAGCAGAAATCAATAAAACAAATTAAATTCAACGTTTCCACTATTATAGTTGATGTGCATTATTTTATCTTTTGAGAAGGGTACTTCTTTGTCTGTGACAACCAAATTAAATAATGATAGGTAACCGTTTTTTTTATCCATGTCACCAATGTTAATAAATCACCAAAAAAAATTCAACTTTCGTTTCAAAAATACCAAAAACCTTTTGTTGATCACCCTTAAGGCTTTAGGGGTTGAATTTAGATGAACAAGTAGACAGCGATCTTCCTTTTGATTTGAATGTTTAGTATGTAAAGTTTCATTAAATTCGAAATAAAATTGTAGATTTACAATGTAACGAATAGGTAAATATACAAACAAAATTTTAATATTATACATTCGATTGTAATACATAATACGATTAATACGAGTATATAGGGAAGATATTTATATGCTTTTGTATATTTTTATTGGTTGTTCAAAACTTATAGTCTATGCTAAAATATGTTTTATAACCATATTCTATGAAAAGTATAGAAAAAAAGACGGATGTACTTCGCACGTGGGTGCAGTCACTGTTGTTGATGAGAAGTTGGGAAAGTAGGATATACAGGGGACATTAATTTTTATCTGTAAGCAACAATTAATTATTAACAAAAAACGATTCTGAGCAAAGTTCGGTTACACATATTTTGAAAGGCCGTAGGTAATATTTACGATATTCATCAAAATTTTACATTCAAATTCTTATGACAAAAAAATTATATTAAACTCAACTTTTTCTACTACACTAAGTGAAATTAATAATGACCCTCTTGTAAAATGTTCAAGTATTTTTGTTTGATCTAACAGATTTATCCACAGAGTACTTATCAAATAAAAATAATGTAAAAAACTCGCAAAATTAAAATGTCTCATTTTAATGTCTCTATTTATGCATTAAAATATTAAATAATGAAAAAATGTAAACATTATTCAGTAAATAATATATAATTTGTGAAAATAATATTTTATAGTTTAAGAAATTTGTAATTGATGTGGAGGTTAGGCTTCTGTATCCTACCTTCCCAACTTCCAATCTACAACAATGGCTACACCCGGGTACAAAGTATGTATGTCTTTTTTCATATCATTCTAATTGTGCTGTGTATCATTTCTAACTTCATAATAATAATAATTCACACATTTTGTATATAATTTTGATTTCATCTTTTTTTTCTAAAAAAAAATTGAAAACTTGTAAGTATTAATTGATTTTCATTTGATTTATACTAATTTTTATTTAAACTAGGTAGTTATTATGCTGTAGGCATCCGCTAAGAAATGATTTTAGATAATTCGACCCTTAAAGTAGGTGATTTTAGGTATTTTTGGTATACGAATGTCTTATTGTTTATTTATGGGTCACTTGGTGACAAGGACAACAATTTGGTTGTCACGGACAAGAAAACTATTATTATTATTATCTAGTAATAGCAAAGCATTGCCGAGTCACTTAGTATATTATATTAATTCTGTATAGATATGATGCCGTCTGCAGTCGTCTCGTATCCTTTATATTATAATATGTGATATATATTATAGTCTGTCTGGTTGGATTATGATTACGGTATGTACTATATAGGTACCATTAAAGTCAGTGGTGGATCCGGGGGATTCCATTTCCAATATACTTTTAGTTTGATTTTCATCATAAATGTGTGCATTGTATACATTTTAAAAATCGCCCTGTTATTTTGGATCTGCTCCTGACCATGGTTGTGGCATAATATTATGACGCAATGTATGCATAGTAATGGGGAAAATCTGGATTCGCCGTTAAGTTTGAAAATCCGGAATCCAAAGTTTATTGTAAATCCGGAATTTCCTGTGAATTTTTCTGGTGTTGAATTCCTTTATTTTTTTTTGTAAAATTACAGTTATATAATTCAAATCTGTATAATAATAAAATTCAATGTCTGCGTGTATGTGTATTTAGGACCTACAGACAAATCTTTCGCACACAAAAATCTGAAGATAATCATACAGATACGGATGATGACCGGCGAATCACGCAGGCTTTTTTTAGTATACGACTATTGAATTTAAGAATCTCTTTAGCGATTAATGAATTTGATTTTATTATAATCTATGGTTATTTTTGTCTATTATCAACTTTCTACCGTGTATCTTGCTATGATCATCAAAACCATGAGTGATTTCTGGAAGAAAAGTTATTCATAAACAGAAAAAAGTACACATCATAAAACCAATATACGTTCAGAATTTAAAACAGTTATTAGCTATTTAGATTAGTTTTTTTGGTTTTCATCTTTTTAAAAGATAAATTACTAAGCAACAACGGTTACCAGTGATAGGTACGCGTCATTATATTGAATTTCTTTTATTGATTTCGCGATTTTTTTAAAATGGTTAAACAAAAATGATATTATTAATCAAAAATGAGATGATTAATAAAAAAAAAAAAAAATAAAACAACAACAAAATCCATATTTCGGGATTTTCCGCATGGGAGAGGTTTGCCAATTTTCGTTCTGAAACTTATCGCGTCTAAAGTAATGAAACCATTTTCGTCAACAACTATGACGTTTTTCCCCGAGCGTTTTCAAAAAAATCGCGGAGGTGGGCTATTTAACCATCCCCCCACACCGTTCCGTTGGTCTTTATGAGCCGGTCTCGGCGACAAATTAATCCGTTTATTAAACTGTATATTATTGTTATTATGACGTATCACCATCAGACGTGTGTATCGCGCGAGAGGGGCCCGCCCGCGGTCACGTCAGTAGACCCCCCGCGGGCCGCGTTCGACGGGCCCCCCGCCGCCGGCATCGCTGCCGAGTCCCACATCGTCGGCACGGCACACGCGCCCCGTACATCCACGTAATGCGATTATAATATCGTGGGCTATTACGTATACCGACGAGTACCGATAATTATTATTGTTGTCGGCCGATCAGTCGGGAGTACCGCGGGGCCGTTCCGCCACCCGATATGGTATTGCAGCCATTATTATACGCGTACACCAGGCATCGTCGTTTCAGTCCCCAGACGGTAGCTATGGATACGCCCGGGAAAGCGATGCAACGCAAGCTCGCGCTCGGGGCGTCCCGCAAAGTTTGCCGTGTGTACGCACACGCACGCACGCCGCCGCCTCGCCGTTGAAACGTGTAGTGTATATATTGCGTGTGCGTATATGTAAATGTGCGTACAGTACAGACGGTGTGTGTACGGGTGTTTTTATGGCGAATGTCGGCGTGTGCGCGCGCGCACGCGACGGACGAGTTTTATGACGAGCAACCGGCCGTGGGGAAAAAAAGCTTCCGCGCGCGCCACAAGTGTTCCGAAAACGGCCAACCGCAACAGTCAGTTACCGCCGCCGTCGAGCACAGCAGATACGCGTATTTTCGACGTTTACGTCGTCGTCGCCTCGTCGAAACCGCCAGTTTTTCTCGTCATAAACAACTAGACGCCAGAAATCCCTCCCTCCCCCCCAACACCAGTCTTTTCCAAATCTGTAAAAAATATTTGTACGTACCCTACGTTATTATTATATACACACTGTCAATCCCGTCCACCGATGTTCTCGACAACGGGACAATAAGAGACGACGGCGCGTAGGTAATTTCCATAATAATTTTATATGTCGTCCGACCGGGTGTTCGAACGGCGTATCGTGTCCAAGCGAAGAACATCCGCCAACCTGGAAGACGCTCCGGAGAAACAGTGCCCAAACGGATGGGCCAGCGTCGTAGCGGCCGCTTCGGCTGCGGCGGCCTCGTCTTCGTCGTCGTCCCGGCCGAAAACCGCGGTTGCCAAGAACCTACAGCAGAGGCCGACGCCGTTTCAACCGCATCCCGATTCCAATTGCGATTGGTTCTTTAAAGTGAGTAATACACTTTTTCCTATTACAGCAAATTTTTCGTACATAAATTATCAAACAGATGACCGAGTTTTGTGCAGCCAGTCGATCTGCAGACTATACGAATTGGAGCGTTTGAGGGGTTGTAATCTCTCCCTACACCTCCCTCCAAAAACGAGTTTTTTACACCCCTTACGAAATAATTTTGTTTACAATATCAGGTATTGTGACTACTTTACATGTCAAAAACCTACACTTTATTCAGGCATTTATTTTAAAATTTATATCCCCCTCCTCTCCTAAATTCATCTCGGTTTCTCCACTATAGTGTCAGCATTATTGATAGTTGATATATACAACTTTTGGAACGCGTATTTTTTGTCTTATTGTTATTTTTTACCAAAATTATAAAAATTAACAAAAACATCATAGCGTAAATCTTGCGTAAACGAATAGATAAACGAAAATTTCAAAACTAAATTATTCTTACTGTTAAATACGGGGTTTTATTTTTAATTCTCTACAAATTAACATAGAGTCACACATAATATTAAAAGAAAATTTCACGCTGTGTGAGAAATGTAGGTTGTATAACAAATATTTAAAAAGTTGTGATAATACTCAAAAAAGTTCTATGATGTATACAATATTCACCCTGTTCTGACCATCCACGAACTCTTACACCTGGACAGTGAATAAGCCCTAAAAATAGGTATACCACTCCGTGGATGTGTATTTTTATTTTACACAAACTCTTCAGGAATTTTTCCAAATGTCTTCCATCACAGTGGCGTGTAAAACATTTTTTTGATTATGTTAAGCCCAACAATTTTCAATACCAACCACCCCTCCAATGAAAAAATTAATAACAAATACATTTTTATTAGTTGTTACTATTCCACTTTAAACTCATTGTTTAATTATTCTGAAATCATACTCCTCCACCACTCAATCGCTAATAACTTACCCACCATTCACCAATTTTGAGGACAAAAACAGTCTTCACCACATCATGTATCATACTCTGCATTAAACCCGCAAGAAATTTTCGTCGTATAACTTATATATAGATACTTATTCTGAAATGTACCTACAAGTTATCCACGAACTGTTTTTGACGTAAAATAATATTATTATCTAGATCGTCCTTTTCTCTTCGTTACGCGAAAATAAACGTGACTTACATTTTTTTTCATTAGGTTTATGCCTGCGGAAACTTAATTTTCCAAGATAATGACTTTTAACTCCCTCTCTTCTCCAACATTAAAAATAACTGATTTTCTAACATTATTATTAAGAATATAGATATTATATATTATAACACATAAAAATGGAAAATATTTATTTATTTGTTTTAATAAAATATCATCATCTGAGTTATTCCAATAGCAAACACGATTTTTAAACTAGCGAACACTTCTGGTTTATAAAACATAATTCTTATACAAACATATTATTCAATGTCAGTTGTCCACTTTATACGATTCAAAAAACCAAGTCCAAAGTTATTTTTTGTACGTATATCACAAAAAAAAATTATTACAAAATAACTGTCTTATATAGTATACTTTAATTTTTTCCAATTTTTGTAATCATTTTTACGTTATTAACATACAAAAACTAACTTTTGACTTTTGTTTTTTCAAATCTTAAAATTTGACTTTTGACTATCCCTGTTTATAACATGTCTATAAAACCATCAAATTAATGTACATTACAAAACATTGATTTTACAGCAACTTTCTGAAAAACTATATTGGAAAAAATACCCGTTTTATTAGTATCATTGTATATACTTATTATTTCATAGTTATATTTATATAGGTATAAAACATGTATTATACCCGTACTAATCATTCTGCACTAATTGACAAAGAATTTTCTGTATGTATAGAAACACATTAAATACAAAATAAAATCAACAGTTACAATAAATCATCTTACGCAATAAGCAATAGTTGTACAAAAATAGAGATAGAGATGTTCCTTATTACGGCTCACTGCGTAGTATATAGAATAAAAAATCAATGAAATACAAGATAAAACATAATACAGGTAGTCATGACACAAAGAAAAAAATAGGACATATTCTTCGTATACATACATTGGATTGGCCATTTTAGAATTTATTACAGTATTTTTATTATTATGTAATAAAAATTGAAAGCAAATAAAAGATAAATTCAAAAAATATATAATTCTCTGCAATTCGATATTCATACACTTGCTCATCAAATACAAACATTATAATATTATTATTCCTCGTTGTATACGTATATAATATAATCAATGCAACTATCCAAAAAAACTTTTTAGACATTCTAACCTATCTAAAGTAGGTGACGCCTTACTATCTCACTATATGTGTGTTTAAATTACCTTCATATAAAGATATTAATGAAATTTTTCTTATCAGCTCTACTTTAGTCTAAAAATGAAAAATAAATAGATTTTTTTTTTTTGATTCTCTGCCGAAAAGTTCACGTTTCGTTTTTCCAACATAACAATAATATCCTATTTAATTTATTGCGTGTTTACATAATAATATATTTTCTAACGTTGTAATAATTATTATATGTGGGCACGTACACTGCGTGTTTGTTAATAAAATAATATCGCAAATGAGTAAAACGTAAAAAAAAAAAATCAAAAATTGAGTTTATAGTAGCCTATAATTTATGTAAAGCACTTGTGATAATAATTATTATATTGTTTACCCGGTTTACGAACAATATAATTTACTTGGATTTAATATTATATTATGTATATCAAAACTGGGCAAGTTGGTCACTTTTTTCAACTAGTTATGGTTAAGCTACTTTAATACAAAAACTAAGTTAGAATATAAGTTAGTTTTTAAAATGTTCCAAATTTCTAACTTAGTTAGAAGTTAGGTGAAAATAGTAACTTAAGTTAGAGTAGACGTTAGAAGTTAGTTTTTTTTTTTTAGTTTAAAATATAAATTGAAAAACCTATTTGTTCAAATATAAATTAATTAATAAGTAGGTAACTAACTTAAATTATTTCCGATGATTGAAAAATTAAATTGAACAACTGATCAAATGTTTCAAGTAGGTAGGTAGTAACATTAATTTATTGGAAATTAATTGGATTATCATTCATTAGAACATAGAAAGTTTAACAACATAAGAAATATACAAGCAGTATTAGACATATTATAAAAACAACTAGATAGCAGACTATAATTTGCTATCGAAATCGTGGCCGCCATATTATGCCTAAACAATAAACGACAATTAATTCAATTTTTATACGACAACGCTATTGCATGGTTATTGTATAGAAGTCGGCTATATTCTATGTAGTTGTTTTTATATGTTTAACTTACAAGAAAAATAAATATTATCAAGAATTAATAAGAAATAATATAACAAGAAAAATGTTTTTATCATAAAATTGAAAATACATTGTTAATGTATTATTATCACGGCTATAGATACTATGTATAATCGTCGGCGCTCGGCAATTTTACGGAACATTTATATTTTTGAAATTAAAAAAAAAAAAAAAAATAACTATAGTTCCTTAATGTTTTTAACAAGGTAGATTAGATTATTTTACACATTCAATTTAACTAGTTAAGTTACAAAGTTATTATGAATAAATAGTAACTAGTCAAATTAACTTTAACTTTAACTTGCTTACTAGTTAGCGCCCAGCTTTGATATATATATATAATACATTATAAGTATAGGTACTTATTAAAAATAGTATCATTTTATCTATAAGTTCTGCGGGTGTTAGATGTATTCATATTTTTCTGTTGTTTTTATTTGCACCCGGGAATTTCAATGAGATGTAGCAATAATAAATCGTAGAATTTTCTTCTCTATAACTAACTCGATTATGATGGACATTTGAAATCCGGATATTAAACGTGGCACCTGTCACCATTTACAGGTAGGGCAATGTTTACAAACTGATATTAATTCATGTGATATGTAAACAGCAAACATCTTTAAAACTATGTTTTCAATTATTGCCTTATACTTTAAACATCTAATAAGCTGCAATAGATTAAAGTATTATATTATTATCTACATCATATTAATACTTTAGTCTTTGATTTCATTTGTTTTTTAAAGTTAAGTTAAGTGCATATAAACATAGGCGCAAATAGTGTTTGACATTTAAGGGGCTGATGATTTTATCTCTGATTATATTTTTTTCTTTTGCTCTTATGCTCTTCTTTACTCTTATGATATATTTCAATGTATTATGTTGTGAACAAAATTTATTTTTGAGGGAGCTATAGCAATTTTAAGGCACAGCCTCCATTATTTGCACTTATGTATGTAATAATATAGTGTATTGGTGTGCTCTAGTTGTGTTAATTCGTATACAAACCGTTCAATACCAGGTTTACAACTAAACTTGTATAGCGAGGGTATATATTGTTTTGAGGAGGGATTTGTTATTCAAATTGTCGCTATTGAATGTTAAGCTTTAACGTAAATATCTGCTTCTGTCGTTTACTAATTTTGTGTAGTACCTACTTATGTCTGATGTCTAGGCGAGACGCCGGTCACATATTACTTACATGAGATTTAAATTATAATTATAATTATTATTTAATATCGATAACATATTGTAAATATTGTCCTACATGACTGGCTGCAAGATTTCCTTAGTTTCGCAGAGCTGACTGTCTAGTATAGTATTAAATATTACGTATTGAGTATCTTGTTAATGTTTTACATTCTAATATCAGAATATGATAAAAGTATGGATTTTTATTTTGAAAAATACTTCTCTGGGCCTATAATATGATGAAAATATAATAATATAATATATATATATATATATATATATATATTATATACAGGTTCATGTAGTAATAACTTTTCATGCAGTTAAAAAATTGAATACAAGCGTTAGGTATTCAAAATTAAAATACCTATGTCGTCTTAAAAAAAAAAAATATTATATCCCTATAACAACTTCTCCCCTATCATATTACTAGTATTATTAAATAATTTTACAAAATACTATTATAATATAGGTATGCTATGCGGATAACTAAAAATATGAAAATGTTTACGATGAAACTAAACCACAAAGTCTTCATTATTCATCACGTGCATCCTCAAAATCCAAAATAAATTCCAAAGATGGAAAATTGTTAATATAAAACAAAGAACTTAGCTTTATTAAAAAAAAAAGATAAAAATGGAATGTTTTAACTTTATAACAATGAAAATGAAAGTTATATTTGAAACGTTTGATGTTACGGAAATTAAATTTGCATTCCTGCGGAAACTGTTTGATATACTTAGAATGGCTGTACCTATCATCTTATACATTCATCTATGTTGTCATTAACAGAAAACATAAAAACACATTCTAGATGCTCAATAATACAAAAGAACTTACTGTTTAAACGTATTTAATCAGTTAAGTAGGTACTAAGTAGGTATTAGAATACTTCAAACTTTTGTATAATTTCAGTGCTAGAATGAGGAGACGCACACGGGAGAACCTCAACTAATTTTTCAGAAATTTTAGGTTACCCCTACTATTTGAATAAAGTAGAACGCATGGAACGTAGTAGCAGATACAAAAAGGGAGAGACATTTTCCAATTTGAGCAATGTATAATTTGATTATACCAATGCAAATATTTATAAATATTTGCCATATGTACCTTCTGTTTTTACTTTGTACCCGTATTAATGGGTATAATATTAATGATAGGCACAACTGAATAGTAACTACCAAACTATTCGGTTGTGGGAAAAACTATTCGAATAGTTTTCGAAATATTCTATAGTTTCCTAAAAAAATTATTAAATGAAACATTTAATAGTTCATCCAAACGGTCATTAATACTTATTAATACCTATTATATATGTAAGTGTTTAAACCGTGATTAGATTAAAATATTAAATACAATATTAGATAATCTGTGAAACAGTTTTACCTGAAACATAATATTTTCAATTTGCTAATTATTTAAAAGCAGAAATACAAATGTAATAAAACCGGAACACTATAACGTGACAAAACATTCATAATATAATATGTTACTTTATTTGTTTTACAACATTTTCATTTGACAACACCATTGATTAGGACAATATTGTTTTTCCCATAAATTAGAACTCTTTAATTTTACACTATTTTTTTATAGGTAGATAGTAGGTATGCATTTGCTTGTATATTATAATTTGTTTGATTATTAGGAAAAATCAGATTGAAATTAAAAGAATTATAAAATCAGAATATCAAGAAGCAATAATTTCAAGGTTTCTATATAAATTGAAATGTGTTTTTTTTTTATATTATTAAAATTTTGTTTTATAATATACCCCTTAATAATAATATTGTAACATTTACTTTTCAGGTGATGGTCCTTGGTGATTCCGGTGTCGGAAAGACTTGTCTGTTAGTTCGTTTCAGAGACGACACGTTTTTGGGAGGAAACTATATATCTACCGTCGGCGTAGACTTCAGGGTGAGAAGGCCAACGTGGTGATTTTGGATCTAATTTAAATCGTGAATCATCTCACTCTTACATTCAAATAATAATCAGAATACTTATTAAAAACATATACCTGTACTATATTACTTATTATTATTATAAGGTATAATAATTAATAACACTGCAATAGCAGTTTGAATGTGACCTAATACAAACTGAAATCAGCCCGTATATACCTATACCTACTTACCTATAAAAAGATATAAAATTATAAAATAACAATATAAAATAATATTATACCCTAGGTAGGTAGGTAGGTACATGTAGTGTGATAAGAGAATGTAGACACCGCGCCATCATTATACTTAGGTAGACGGTGTTATTTAGACAGTTGCTGTGAACATGTGCCTACAACTCATTGGTATAAATAAAAAGCGGAATGTTTTATATTAATATATGTACTATTATTTATTTTTTATTACTTTTACTACATCGTGAGCATAATAAAGAAACACCTGTATATCTTTATCATTTATCGCGCGATCTTAAGATCACTATTAGGTATATTTATACCTACACGAGACGAAGTGAAATATAATAACAGTTGAACAACGTGTATAATGGCTGTGTTTAAATTTATTTTTAATGATTAAAAATAATAATATGCTGTTACCCACATATTTTTTTTTTCATTCGATAATAAATAATTTTGAGGACATGTGGTCTATATTTTCGAATTCTACCTACCTATTTTTAAACATCACGATTTATTATATTTTGTTTCAGAATAAAATTATATCTGTCGACGATTCCAAAGTCAAACTGCAAATTTGGGATACAGCAGGCCAGGAAAGATTCAGAAGCGTAACACACGCGTATTATAGAGATGCTCATGGTAAGTAATCAATATACAAATTAGAAGTACAAGTAATATGGTATTATTTATTTATATGCGATCAAAACTATTGTATTAAATAAAGCTGGGTAATAAATCATCACTTTGCACGTAGAAAATAATACTTACATTATTTAATCAGATGAAATATACACAAGTATACATAGAGATATAATATTATTTTTAATTTACAAAAAAAGATAGGCATACGTCACACGATGGGTGTACCACTGTTGTAGATGAAAAGTTGGGGAGACAAGATATAGAGGGGAATTTAATTTATATCTGTACGCAACGATAATCTATTGATAACGAAAAACGATTCGATGCGAAGTTTTTTTTATAAATCTACGTAAATTTTCCCGATTTTCCTACATTTTCCCCAGTTTTTCTCAATTATTATGAAAACTGCTCAGAAAATCAAAAAATGTCCTCTTTTAGGTACCACCCAGATAAAATTTCCTTTCAAAAAAGATACTACATTTGAATACCAGAGCAGGATTTCTAGTAGAAAAATTATTCATGAATAAAAAAAAAATCATTGTAAAACCAATACATTCCTCACTATGCTCCGAATCTTAAATACGTATCATCCAAAATATAACAACTCGAGTATGATTATTGATTATTAATAAAATAAATATGTGTATTAATATTAAATAGTAGGTAAATACCTACTAATAGAAACAATCATATACTTTAAATTAATAACGGATATCTAAGTAAATAAAAATTGACTTAGTAATACATAGTAATTGTACTTCGTAAACAATTTAGAACATAAAAATATTTAATAGAAAAATAATTATAAAATTCGACATTATCTTGCTCAAAAATATATTGTATACGTTTTATTTAAGTAATATCAAACACAAAAAAGAAAATACATTTTTTTTATGTTACAGCTCTTCTACTCTTGTACGACGTGACTAATAAAGTAAGTTTCGACAACATACGGGCATGGCTGAGCGAAATTCGAGATTATGCTCACGAACAAGTAGTCATAATGTTAATAGGTGGGCAAACCGATAATTTTTGATCTGTGTTACAGTGGTAGTCAAATGATATTTTCATAGGGAGGAGTGTATAAGGATAATTATTATTAATTATTGTTTACATACATTTTTTTATAAATATAATAGATTACATAATATAATCTCAATTTGAATAAGTATTGAACAGAAATAAGATCAAGGGAAACGGAAATACATCTTCTCTGCATTTGACCACCCCTGTTTCATTGATATTAACCAGTGATTGGGACTTTTAAAATTTAAAATCCACAAAAAATCGATTAAAAACGTCAAAAAAACTCTGAAAAAATATGTAACAAAATAAAAATAATATAGGAGGGGGAGGTTTACTTTCTCTAATGACTCCAACTTATTATGTACAATTTTCTAGCACTACAAAAATGATATTTTATAAGTTCGAGTCATTAATGGGAGAACTTTTAAAACCCCTTTACAATTTCAGCTTTTTAAAATATTTATTACTGTTTTTTTGTGGATTTTAAATGCTAAAAGTCCCAAATCCTAAATTAATAATTGGTGTAGATATTAGTTATTCTTTTTTCGATTTCAACAGGGAACAAAGCGGACTGTAGTTCTAATGATAGGATGGTTAAACGAGATGAGGGCGAGCAGTTAGCCAAGGAGTATTCGGTCACATTCTTGGAGACTTCTGCAAAATCGGGTTTAAACGTTGAAATCGCTTTTATGTCTGTTGCCAGGTACGCATTTGTGTATACATAATATCTATTGGCTATTATACTGCGACCTAGTGATAACACCTAGTTAGGGTCCCCGTTGGGGGTCTCCTCCTAAGACTTTGGGGTACCTTTGTATTAAAGTAAAATTAATTTATCTTTGAAACTATACAGGTATTGTATTTTGAATAAATTGGTGTATCCCCTCCTCTATAATGTGGCCTATTTTGATTACTGACTGGAAATAACCTTGATTTCGAATGCAAAAAAATAAATGTAGTAAATAAATAAATGCGTCCTGGAGTATTATGATAAGTATATTATACGACCGGTATCGAATTAAAAATTCATCATCACAGATATAACACAGTTAAAATGTAAAACGCGACTAATACTCCAGGCGACGCATTCATTAATTTGTTTTTTTTTTTTTACATACATATACATACATTTTTTATTTATACATTTATTTACGAATATTAACCATTTTAATAATTTTGTTTTAATTAATTATTTTAGTACATATATAATATATATGTATGTATGTAAGTATGTATGTGGAGCCATTAGATATATATATGAAAAGGAAATTATAGGTATACTTACCTACCTGAGCAATACCCTGTTCGCCCAAAAATGACATTTCGCTTTTCGCCCGAATATTTTAAAACTACTTTTCTTTTTCGTCCAAGAAAATTATAGCCCTTTTTGACGATGTTTTTATAGCGTTCACTTTGAGAAACACTTACTTCATTTTTATTTGTGTAAATTAATTTGGCGATGAATATTTGTTAGGTCGTAAGAATCGTGATTATGTTCACTAGTTGAAATAAAAATATGACATCCTCGTTTACTTCTAAGTATTCCATAATTTAACTGATAAAATCGTCACCAATATAAATTAAAAATTACTGAAATATATTACTAAAAACTATGCACTCGAATACTTCGACTCGAAAGTAGACGAAACTGCACTGAAACAGTTTCTAGTTGTCAAATGTATGTAGTGTATACATATGTTATAATGGTTTATACTGTATACCATTATTATTATCTTTTCTTTATAAAATAATTATCTACCAATTATTATCGTATACCTATAGTATCCCAAATGTTATTATGGCGATAACGTTATATATTGTACATAAATAATTTAAAGTAAGTGTTTGCCAAAGTATGTATTATAAAAATGTGATCAAAATGTGCTATAATATTCTTGGACAAAAAGGGAAAGTAGTTTTAAAACATTTTAGTGAAAAGCAAAAGGTTATTTTTGGGCAAAAAGAGTCCCGCCCCACCTACTTATATAGGTAATTATTATTATAAACTTCAATCAAAGATAACAATCATCATATTATTATACAATTTCGTCACTTACCGTTTTACAGGGAATTATTATTCAAAAAAACTGGCATAGAAAAAAAAGGATCTTTTAATGTACAAGAATATGTGAAAGAACAAACCAAAACCAATTGTCCCGCGTGCTCGACAACATGAATATAATGCATCGCAACATCGTAGGTAAACTAAATCAATTAAAAAATTACGATAGTGTGTAACTATTTGTTATTTTGAAATAATGCACAGAAAAACCTAACGGGGGTCCAGACTCCCACAGTTGATCTTTAATCTTTTATACTTCAGTCTATTAATAAGTCAATGAACAGTGTTCTGTAATTATTGTTTCAATGTTACTAAAGAAAAATATGGGTTAAGGAAGTTGAAACGTACCTAGTTTTCATACGTTTTAGATACGGTGTAAAATTAGACATACTTTCCATTATCTGATTTCAATTTTTAAAGTATGTATTGTAACATTTGGTTTCATTAAAATTTGTTTTCAAAACAGTTTTCACCATAAATGTTAGTGCCACTTAGATTTAACGCTACCCATTTTAAACATTTTTATAACCTTCATAACCTATCATGTATGGTAAGCATACAATTGCTATAAATAATACTAAATAAAGAGAACAACTAAGGGGATAATTAATTAACACTAACTTAAGTTTTATTTTTATTTAGGGGGCTGACCCCCCTTCTATTTATGCCAATGAATATAGATAATGTTATAACTAATGGCAAATAACACTTCTCATCGTCATCATCACTTTAAGAACTCTGTTCAAGTCAAGTATAACATCTCAAAATTATATTAATATATAATAATAGGTAACTATCTAGTTTTTATTTTCTAACAAATATCTGTGATTTATATTACTATGTTCTATGGTAAACAGATATGTACTTATAGACTGATCTTTTGTTGGTTATAAATTATTATAATTTACAATATATATTATATTTAAGAGAAATCTAGATGTCTATATTATTTTTAATAATAAAAAGCCTGTTGTTTAGTTAATACCTATTAATTGGCTATAATTAATGTAATTGGATATTCTATTTCCCAGCAGATTTAATTAACAAACTAACATCTGAATTTAAGGTACCTGCTTATCTAAAAAACGTGTCTACAATAGCAGTTCAAATAACACAGATGTTTTCAAATAAAAAAATGTGATCCTCACTTAAAAAATACCCTTGGCATATAAACAATAAATTATCATATTATTCAGTAGTAATACAGACTGCTTTTCCATGAATTAACCACCAATCCACCGCCGTGTAGTGAACTGTTCATAAATATTATTTTACGCCATCAAATTAATTTTTTGAAAAACAAAAGTAAAAACTTCAGTGCTATTTAAGTACATTGGGAATGTATTTGGAAATCAATCATACTTTATTTTTTTAATTGAACTAGGTACATATTAGTCAAATATCAAAATATAAATTAAACTTAACTTTAGGTATAATTAATAATTATAGATTATAATTGTATAAAATCAACAATGTTACTTAATAATATTTGTATAATATCCTTACTCATATTTTATTAAAGATAGGTAATTCATTATTTATGTTTAATCTTTAGATTTCCATTAATAAATGAAGAATGTGTATTGCTGCCCATAACAAAATACAAAAAGCTGTCTATATAACTATGTCTATCTAGGTGGATTCATTCATCAATCCATTGAAAAAGCAAATAAATCTTCTCCATTAATTAACCTAAGTGATCAGTCACTATTTTATTTTCTAGGATACCTATTACCATATTTAGTCATAACTATAAAATTACTAATAAAACACATTGTTATTTATAAAATATTTATTAAGTAGAAAAAAAATATTTTTTAATTATTATCATTACTATAATATAATCAATAAAGAGCTGGTTTAGTCTTCCTATATACATTCACTATTAAAATGAAGTATATATTTTACAAATGATAGTATAATAATTAATAAGTACCTTGTCATAAATGCATAAATACCAAGTATAAATTGTTACTAAAAATGAAATGTATACTATTATTTAGTAAAATTATAATAATAATATGGATATGTTATACATTTTTAATATTTATTTATTTGTGTGTGATTTATGTGCTTATTATAGTATGTACCATTGTGTTAAGTTTATAATTTTAAGAATATTATTGTTTTAGTTTTAAATAATATACATGTAAAAATATTTTTTTTTAAATGAAAAATAATATATTCAATGTATTAACATATTGATTTTAATATTAACATTACCAATTTTATATTAAAAAATGATTAACTTATAAAAAATATAAAATTAAAATTTACTGCCATGACACTATTTAAAATCTAGTTTGTATGTATTAAATATACGTTCACAGTAAATACTAAATGTTTATTTTGAAGTTTGAAATTATTAATACTGTTACCATATTCAAATAAATTTCAATAAGGCCCAAGTTTGTATCAATTACCATTGCTATCCAGATTCCAGTACATCCATTATGTCATTAATTGATTCTATAGAAAAGAATCTAATTTAACACCTTCAGAGAAATTGACAAATTTTAAACAATGATCAATATATTCAATAATATAATACAGTAATATTATATTTTGAAAAAATACTACATAATAATAATAATATTCTGGTATTAATATCTTTAGTCGACAGTGTGGTTACTTCTAAAACCTATAGAAATTATTTATAAATAATAATTGATTGATAATTTTAATTTGCTTTTATGCATCTTATCCAATTAAATATAAGTGTTTTAATTGTGTAAAATATGTAAATATGTTGGAATATATTACTATTTATTGGAAGTACTTTCCGCAAACACTCCACATATAAGTTTTTTCTTTACAACTTTATTCATATGTATATCACACATAACTTTTAATTATATATTTTTTTTAAAATATGCATCAGAATTTATATTAACTCCAGATGAACTAGTTTACCTCTGTGTAAATATTCGGTGCAAGGGTACAACCCATAAAAATATTAATAAATGGACTTTATTTTCTTCACCTCTCATCTATAATGTTCGTAAACAATATTAAGCGATGATAGCGAAAGTTAGGGGCAACCATGGATGAAATACTTTTATATTTGTATTGTGCCATGAAATTGATTGTTATTATTACCACTGTAATAGATTAGATACCAGGTAGAATAACAGGCTGTAAAAAAAAAAAACCTGCTAGAAATATTTTTCTGGGTAGGTTAGATAAAATAATATAAATATTTGGATGAGTAAGACTACTAATAAAAATTTTAAATTTTAAAATTGTGTTAATTTTGGTTAGAATTAGCTAGGCCTGATAAAGTTTTAATGTTTTATTGTAATAATTCAGTATGAATTGAGTTAAAAAATAATACCTGGTGTTAACTAAATTTATATTTGACACATTTTCTAACCATTCTCAGGTTGATGTAATTTATTTAGATTTGTTTGTTAAGGTTAATTATAAAATATTATTAAACATCCTATTACATACTGGTTTTGGGTGAACTATTATTAACATGCTTTGCTCTTACTTGTCTAATAAGAAGCATTTTCCAGTTTGTAAAAGTTCATGGAATAAGATCTTGTGTCACTGGTGTCCTACAAGAGGAGCATTCCTCTCTCATGCTCTTCTCATTATTTATCAACAACATAAAAGATGTTATTAATTAAATCTAATTTCTGTTATTCGAGGATAATTTGAAACTGAATATAAAAGTTAGGTCTATTGATTATTGTATACGTTTAAATGATGACCTTAATACAATTGCACAATAGACTTTGACCATGGATTTGTCATTTGATATCCAAAATTACAAATATATGCCCTTTTACTGATCACGTTCTCCGATAGTTTTTAATTCAACAGACTTTAGCTTATAAAAATAGAAAATACAGTCAAATACTTGGGTTTAGTTTTCAACACAAAATTAACATTTTATCCTCATATAGATTCTTCTAGTTATAAAGCATTACAAATTCTTGAGTACTTACATTAAACTTGTTTGTACCCGGTTTAAACTGGCTACCTCAATCAAATTATTATACTGTTCCTTAGTTTGCTTTGTGCTTGAATACGGATTTGCATGTAATTAGTCATAGTTATCTCTTGGCACACGTACATGGTAAGTTTTTATGTTTTGGTGGTCAGGTATTGAAAATTGAACATCAGCCATATGAATATTTTCCAGTTATTTCTACTCTACAATTAATTTTGTTGGCTGACAGAAGAGTACAAGTTAATTAAACTTTTCTTTCTAATCTACTCTCAGGTAAAATTGACTCCCCAAATCTTCTCTCTTCCATTAATTTCAAAATCCCTAGTTGACCACTCGTAATAACTATATGTTCTATATTTCTATCCATAACACAAACTATGCTGCAAATGAGACATTGATAAGAATAATGAGGATTGCCAATACTAAACTATCTTTTTTAATTAATTTACTAGGTTATTATTTACATTTGCTGTTCTTTTAGTTGAGAGTTATGTATTTTACTGTTTTATGTTTTTTATTACATCCTTTATGCAATATTTTAACTATGTATTATTTAAATTTTAAATTTATCATAATGTAACTATTGAGCTACCAACCCGTACTTTCAATAAAATAAATAAAAATAAAAATACATTAATTTTAGAAAAAATATATATGCATGTACATATATAATTTTAGTAAAATAAAAATAATTAGGTGATATTAATAATTGAAAATTTGATTCAACCAATAATAAAAATAAAAATTAGAATAGAAGATAATATTCCTCAAAATTAATTGAGTGGAATTTAAAAATCATTGAATCATCACTATAAATGTAGGTTATAAGTAATGAATGTTTAATATTTATTGTTATAATAATACTTGATGTTCATACTTACTCAAAACTGAATGGAATTCAGTTTCAGTTATGGATAAAGTACTATAACTGATTATTTTTCAAAAAATTGTAAATAATAATTAGGTTAATATAATATTATATACATATTAAGCAATTTTTTTTATTCATAAATATATAATATGGTTTGTATAATAATACAGATGTAATATAAAAATGTATTTAATAAATCAATTTTTCAATAAAATTAAGGTTTTTTTTGTCATCCAGATATAACACTCTGATTCTCTAGATCCCTTGAAGATCCTTATAAGTGGATTCTACTGTATAAAATACACTGAGTCAAAACTAAATATGTATCGAGTACCTATCTAAATAAAATTAATATTAAGTAGGAATAAACTTTTTAATATACATTAAAAATGATTTAACTATACATAATAAAGTCCCTATTTATACTATCATTGAAAATTGCAACATTCTTAAATATATTGAAAGTCCTATGAAGTGCAAAAATTTGGTGGACATAAACTTTCAGGATCTAAATAAAAAATAATATTGTAATAATACACTATATTTCTTACATACCCAGAATTTGTATACTTGTAGAATCTTGCTAACAATTTCATTTGAAATATAGTCAAGAAAAAAGAAATAAACTTGTCAACTAAATATATGAATTGAGTACTTTATATAGGTATATTAATGTAGGTACATGATTCAAGTTTTAGGACCAAGATTGCCTGATTTATATTTATTAATATCAATATTTTTAAATGACTCAACACCAAGACTGCGTACAGTAGGTATATTAAAGTCTTGTACAGTAAAACATCCATATAATGGTCACCGGAAGGAGCGAAAATAATGACTGCTATTTAGAGGTGACAGTTAGTGGAAGTTTTACTGTATTAACTTTGGTGTTATTACATGGGGAAATACATCTAAGTAGACCTAAAATACACTTATGATAATATTAAACTCACTATTAAGACTTATATTATTGAAACCGTATGATTTGCATGTAATGATTTTTACAGTACACCTTTAATGTACCTATAAAATATCCAGAGCTATAATAAGATACTTTAAATTAGTATCAAGATTCAGATACATTTTATTTGAAAGTATCTAGATACAGATACAAGTATCTTAAGATACTAAAGTACTAGATTATAAAGTTATAAGTTATAATATAATCATTGTCAGTTATGATACATAATATATTATAACAATATTAAAATATTGATTAATTATTGGTAAATATAAAATTAGTAATAGGTATTTTCCACTTGTCTATACACAAGTCATACTCATACATAATAATTTATAATAATAAAGAAATCAGAAAATAATACATATCAACAATAAATTGTTTATCAAAACAAATTAGCTTTTAGAATTTTGAGCCACTTTTGAGCTTTTAAGGAATTTTAATTTTTCGTAGTATTTTTTGGTTATAAATACACTTACAAATTTGAAACTTGGTAATAATACTTTTATTGGACTTACCTAGACGTGGTAAAGTTTCTGATTTTCCCGTTTCTCCCGGTTTTTCATATTTGCTGACCAATGGAACGTTTATACCTATAAACTAAATACTAAAATATTTTGTGTTCACTGGATGTTCCATTGCCATTATATTGTCACATGAAATTTTGACGTATTCATTTGCAACCCAAATCATATGAGTCATTTTTCATTTTTAGAAGTCGATATGTTTTTTTTTTATAAATTTCCTAAGCCAAAGGTCAAAAAGTTTTAAATTGTTCATTTAGTATTCCGGTATCCGGATGCTCCTCAAACATTTGCTGCTCGGATCAAGTGCCCTTAAAAATCTCCATCAAATACGGCCCTGTTAAAACGAGTGGTTGTGTCACGAGTGTTTAAACGACAACTCGGTACACGCTCACTCGTGCGCAACTTTGGTCGCTGACACGCGCTGAATAAAAAGTCTAGGACAACTCGCCGCTACCGTCTCATATTAAACTGTATTTCATGGTAAAAAGTTTTTTTTAAATCATTTTCAAATTTGAAGAAAATAGTAAATACCACGGAATTTTGAAACACCTATAACAGAACTTTGTTCAGAATAGTTTTTAGTTAGAAATTGTTTATTGTTGGACACCTACAAATATATATTATGTAGCTTCATGAATCTTACTTTTTGACATTATTTTAGAACCTGAATCAATCAAAACGTTTCCAAAAAATTACATAGTGAAGTTTTAATTGTTCATAAATAGGTATAGGTAGGTATACCATAAAAAAAAAAAAAAAAGAAAAACAGTAACTTTGAAATTAATTAGTTCGTGAGGTACCCGCACCCATTACGGCGATGATGCGTTTGGCGCGCGGTGCGACGACGACGATGGTATAAAACATTTTAATTATGTCAATAGCACGACAGCTCATAAAATAATAAAATGCACTCTCGCGCGAAACCGAAACTCCGCGAACTGGTTGTCGTAACAGCGAGGCGGCGCGCAACGCTATCTCTCGATCGGTGTATTAAAAAAGACGTTCTAGGATAATGGGGACGGGTGAAGCCACCATTTAGATAATTTAATGTAAACCTATAAGCAACAATAAACTTATTTAATTGCTTACGGAAAATTGATTCTGAGCGGAGTTCAATTGATAGTGATGCTTTGTCAACAATATATATGTCATTTTATAGTAAAATAATTAAATAGGCTTTATGTGTTTTCTTTGATAATATTTATTTAATAGCTTACCGATTTTCCTAATTTTTCTACGTTTTTCCCATGTTTTATTCCGGTTTTTCAAATTTAATGAATAACTCTTGGGAAAATCGAAAAATGACCTGTCTAAAGTACCTCCCTACGTTGATTTCCTTTCAAAAAAAGTGCTACACGTAGAAATCCGAGCACTTCTGGTAGAAAAGTTGCGCACAGAAAAAAAAAATAAACATCTTTGAAAAACTAAAAGCTTCTTCTTTCCACTCGGAATCTACGTATTTCAAATATATTATTCAAAGTTATCAACATTATTAGATTTAATTTATTAAAAATACAGAGTAATTTTTTTATCATTAACCTGCAATTTTCTCTGATGATCTCAAGTAATTTGATTTCTGTTTTTTTTTTAATCATTGATATCAGTTTTACAAGCTTTACTTTAAAACAATTTTTACCCCTACTCCATATACCTTAAAATATAAGTATATTCTTTTGTTCTTCAAATAGCAACTCTCTTTTTGAACACAGATTTGGACAGAAGATATTTTTCTAGAAATTTCGATAAGCATAACACTAGTATCAAATTTACTTTTTATGAGTTATAACCGTTTAAAGTATAGACTGGAGGTGTAAGAAAGGGTAATAAATTGCATAATTGCACTTTACCTATGGTCTATAATCAATGATATATGATAACTGAAGGTTACCAATTTTTATCACAGTTACCATTATGGTTTTTGTGGAGCTTTTTACGCACGCTGATTTGACTGTTTTAAATCGAATGAGTTCTGTCCATGATAAACTACGTTCACATGCACAATTAAAGGCGATTTAAAAATTAAAGTGATTTAATCAAGTAACATGTAACAAAATAAAATAAACTGGTTTTAATTTTAGGATTCTCAAATATGTGGTTTACAAAATTAAATCGGTTGTATTTTTGTCACAGATATAGATAATAAACTAGATTGCTAACTATAACAGTAATTCAAGCAGACCGGACGATGCCGCTTTTCCACCATATTTGTTGAAGGCTATGGTATTTTATCATTTTTTATATCGTTATGATTATACACAGATAAATTTTATCATAATTCATGAACTCAGAAATATTTTCAATAATAACTAATGTAATTATTTATATATTATATTATATTTATTATTTAGAATATCTGGCCGTTGTACAAAATCATTGTCAGTGAAATAAATATTACATATCCTGTGATATATTAGTATAAAATTTTGTCTGTTTATAGCAGTTATCCATTTTTCTTTCACTACATTATTATTTGTTAATGTATACAAAAAAGATTTGGTGAAATAATTATTACACTGCAGTAAAATTATATGTATAGAAAACTATGTTGACAAATACTGATATTCATACATACTTGAAAAAACCACTTTATCACGACCATAATTAGCACATTTATGCACACACCAAGTTAGTGGCATTTTACTTACACCTACGACTTCTTAAATTTTTACAAACAAAAGTCAATACACAAAGTTAATATATCTTAACATTTAAAATGCTCATTTTTAAATTTTTTTTATGGATATTGGACATAATTTATTCTTAGATCATATTTAAATCATTTGTTTTTTTTTACATGTTACTATCAAATATCGTTTATTATTAATTAATTATTATAAATACTATTACTTTTTCATACAGTTATTTTCATTAATGATTTACGTGTATAATTTATTTTTCATTATGTGTTTTTATGTATATAGGTAATAACAACTTTATTAAACGGACTGCGCACCTTGTGGGTCGCCAAAATATACAGTATTCAATTCAATATTGATATACATAGGATTGTTATAAAATTAAAAAATTATAATAAATAATTAAATAGATATAATTAAAATTATTATAAAAAGATAAAATATCTACAAGGTAGAATTGATAAAAATTTAAAAAAAAAATAGAGATTACAGATTTTATATAAAATAGAAAAATTGATAAAGAAAATGAAAAATTAGTAGTTATACAAATATAAGTGATAGTTTATAAAATTGAGTGTATCTTTCATAATAAACAAACATATTTTCACTAGATCAGAGATGTTAAATCCATAGGTCTTGAAAAATTTCTCAGAAATTTTAGCTATTAGAAATAATATATATAAATCACTACTCTAGTTTATGACAATTTAGTATAATAACAGTAGGTACTCAATTACATTTATTCATATCTGAAATTAATAAGTTTCGTTAATTTAGCCCTTAGTACGATTTTCATATACATTATCTATAATCTTTCTAATTACGTGAAAAATACGATAATAATAATATCAAATTAATGAAAAAACCTATTTGAAATTATTTTTATAAACAAAATTCAAATACAAATACGTTGATTGAGTTGTTATTATTGTGAATTATAATTAGTGATAAAACCCCTTGCTGTGTGAGTAAAAGCGGTATAAGCAGTATGTCTCTCATTCATATTTCGGAACGCGGTCCCTGATTATATTAATATAGGAGTGGCTAAATGAATATTGTTGACAGCCATACAAGTGATCAATTTTTAATTTGTGCCGTCAACACGTCTGTTGATAAAATTTACCCCTTATAATATTATATCTAATGGACAATATTGGTACCTAGTTACGGTAGGTTTGAGGTTTACGCCGTATAAGGTTAAGGTTTGTGGAAATTGCAAGGAATTTGGTTTTCTACGGAAGGCCTCACTGTAAAATAAATCAGATGATTCATTATCCGTCAATTTTGAGGGTTGACTTACTGTCTTTCTATGGCGGTCTGCGACCTGCTTTGGTGATTTCGTGTTTATTATAACTAAACCTTGTGTCAACCCGTGTGCATAAGTCCGTTTGATATTTGTTAATTTGGGTTGTCCCTTCTTGTGTTTAATTTCAGCGTTTACCATTGTTGAGTATTGTGTATCATAATTATTTCGGTGACCTGCCGGCTGTCTACTCATAGTTTCATCGATTATAGTTCGAAGACTGTCTTGTAATCATTTACCACGTTTTCCCGTTCATGGATTATTTGGATATTTGACGTGTTTCGCAGATTTTGTATTAAAAAAAACTGAAAACACATGGGTAGTTACAATAGCGTGTAACTTTGGACATGCTATTATGATAAAGTAATTAGGTAATTGTGATTTTTGTATTATATTTAATTGTATATTTGAACAATTGTTTAATGTTTTTTTCGTTATTATGTGGATTATTATATTGGTTATTTATCTGTTACTTAACAGTGTTTTCAGGCCCAAAAGTATCAAAATGAAGAACTTAAAAAACCAATGAAATATGTCTGCCGTCTAATCAGTTAACTGCTGTTCTTTCAAAAAATTGCCGACTAACACTCTTTATCATAGGGATTCTCAACTTTGGCTTTTGCTTTTGGCAATACATATATCAATATGGATCTAACACTTGAAGATCAAATGCTTTTACATAGTGAAAATTTTGATCTGTGCAGAATTTGTTTATTTGAACCAGAAACAAACAGAGATATGCACTTTGAAAACATTTTCTCATATAGAAACAAAGAAATTCAAATACAGGAACAAATAAAGGAGTATTTAAACATTCAAGTATGTGTTCCTATATATATACAACTAAATATATTAAAATAACAATTTGCTAATAAGGGATAATATATTATCTTAGGTTGAGTTTGATGACGTTTATCCAAACATCATATGCGAGAAGTGTTTGAATACATTAAAGGCAATCAATGATCTGAAGAAATCAGGAGCTGAATCACAAATTGTTTTAAAATACATAGCCAGAAAAAAAGTAAGACAATAGGTATTTAATTAGGCGAGAAAACTGCAGTACATGGGGTAATTGAGATAGGAGTAAAGCGTACAACTAAAGTGATACAGGTGAATTAAAAATAAAAAATATTGGGATACGGAGCAAGATCTTATTTTTGTATATTTTTGGTGAAAACTGGGAATGGGCAAAGTCAGGCGGAGAAACTCAGTTAAACATCGTCAAAATGCAGTATCTGTATTTTTGAAATTTTTACATAAAAACAATTTTTGTTGTACATCAGGTCCCTAACTTAACTTCATATTATAAACTTGAAACTTAGAATAATTAATAAGATAATTGATAGAATTTAAATTAGATCACCAAAATTATTTTTCAGCTTTCATTCAACTGTAGATACTGTGTTTTAAAATTGAAAATTCATATAATAAATTTAATTTTAAAACAGGAAATGTAAATAATATTTATTGAATCACTTCTTCTTCTTATCGTGTCCAGTGCTAGAGCTATATGCTATTACAATTATACATAAATACATAAAGTTGTCTAAAAATAGATAGGTTAGGATATGAGTATAAAATATAAAGTAAGATGTTTAAATATTTTGTTTTAGCTAGTGAATTGTAATTGATATTGCTTTTTCGTTGGCTAAAGCCAAGTCGNCACATTTGCATAGTATGTCCAATTCTTTCTGGTATCCCCATTCCATCATGTTTGCTTTTGTTTTTGCTACTCCAGTTCTCAACCTTTTTAATGTCTTCTATATAGTCCATGGTTGGTTTCCTCCACAAGGTAGGTGCTCAGCAAACGGGACAGGTTTTTCACATTGTAGTTCTTCTCTCCATTTTAGTATTCTGTGTTGTTCCGGTGGATCTTGGATTGTGGTTGAATTGGCAATAAAGCTTCTTCGGGATTTAAGTCTCCTTTGGGGTCCTGAGTAACCATGCATGGGATGTCTTTGATCCATTGTTTGTTTGGTTCTATCCATGCATGTGGCCACATGTCTTCGTATTTTTGGTCGAGCTATCCCTGCTAATGGGTATATGTATTTAAGTGGCGTTGGCTTAAGGCATCTGGTTATTATCCTACAAGTCTCGTTGAGGGCCGTATCAACATGTTTTGAATGTTTAGATTGGTTCCATACTGAGTTAGCGTACTCACCAGCGGAGAAACAAAGTGCTAGTTCAGTAGTACGGATCGTGTTTGGAGTTGCCTCCCACTTGCTACCTGCTAGTTTCCGTATTAGATTGTTTCTTGCTTCGACTTTCATTTTAGTTTTCTTACACTGTTATTTGAACGTAATAGTTCTGTCCAGTGTGACCCCTAGGTAAACTGGGTGTTCTGTATTTCCCTATGGTTTTCCAAGCCATTCAACTTTTAGTTTTCTTTTTGCCTCGCGGTTTTGGAGGTGGAAGCTGCATATCTGTCTTATCTGGATTGGGTCTTAGTTGGTTTTTTATGTAATAATTTGTTAATTCTTGAAGTGATTTGGTAAGTTTACGTTCGACAATTTCGAAGGTTGTGTCCTGTGCTGCTAGGGCTAAGTCGTCTGCATATACGAAATGTTTTGTTTCCTTAATAATGGGTTGATCGTTGGTGTATATGTTGAATAACATAGGCCCTAGTACGCTACCTTGGGGTAATCCATTTCGTTGGTTTCTCCATCTGCTCCATTTGTTATTTAGTGTGACTGTAAAACGCCGATTGTGTAGCATAGAGTATATTATTCGGACAAAGTGCCAGTCATCTGTACATTCATATATCTTTTTAAGTAAAAGATTATGATTCACCGTATTGTACGCTGCGGATAGTTCTATGAAAACCACCCCTGTTACTTTTTTGTTCTCGTAGCCGTCCTCTATATGTTTGCACAGGTTTAATACCTGTCCTGTACAGTTTTTGCCTGGCCTAAAACCAGCTTGCTCAGGAATAAGTTTTCTTTCGACTTGGCATTTGATACGATTCATGATCATACGTTCATACAATTTAAAGNCTTATCGCGGCATAAGTTTAGAAAAGTTAATAACCATTGTTTAGCTTTTATGCTGAATTCTTTTATTTGTTCTGTCATTATTTCGTCCAACCCAGGTGCCTTTCCGTTTTTCATCTCCTTCAGGCTCTCATTTAGTTCATCAAGACTAAAGTCAAGCTGGTAGTTGTTTTGCTCAATGTCTAGGTTTCTGATGAGTTTTTCTCTTTTGATTTTTGTCCCTGGTTTACTGTTTAAGAGTAGCTGTGTGGCTACTTGATTAGCTGTTACGTTTATATTGTTAGTGTGTGTAACCGGGTCCCCACTTAGCCTCTTGATGAGCCGCCATAATTTTTGGTGTTTTTGGTCATGTCTATATTCTCAATGAGTCCATGCCACCTGTCATTTCTATCTTTACATAGGTGGTTAATCAGGGTTTCTCCTAGCGTTAATGTTTCTTCGCTAAATGGGTCTACAGAGAATGATTTTCCATATTTCTTATTTATTTAGGTTTCTTCCGTCATTCCACTTATATATTGTTCTCTACATCCCCGTGGAATATGTAGTCTTGAGGTTTTCTTGACTTTTTCTACAAATTTCTCATAGTTTTCTGGCTTTGGGTCTAAGTTANCCATATTTCTTATTTATTTCGCGTGTTTCTTCCGTCATTCCACTTATATATTGTTCTCTACATTCCCGTGGAATATGTAGTCTTGAGGTTTTCTTGACTTTTTCTACAAATTTCTCATAGTTTTCTGGCTTTGGGTCTAAGTTACGTATTTCCTTATCCAGAGTTTCCTTAAAGTCTTTCCACTTGGCTTTCCTAAAATTAAATCGTCTTTTAAATGGCACGGTTTGGGGTCTTACTACTTCTGTGATACTTAATGTCAAACCTCGGTGTTGGGTATTTGGTATGGGGTTACAAACGGTTTTTATGGTTTGAGGGACTATTATATCGCTTACGAAGGTTAGGTCTGGGTTGTAACTTTTCTTCCACCGACCACTATTGAAGGATGAGGAAAGTTTTGGATCGTGAACTAGAGACAAGCCTTCAGCCTCAGCCCGTGATTCAACTTTTTCCCCTTTTAGATCCGTTTCCTGGTATCCCCACGTGACACTATGGCTGTTGAAATCGCACAAAACTATCTTTGTATCACTGTTGTCAAAGTGATCCGCTTTTTCAAAAGCGAACGCAATGTTTGGTGGTTTGTACACCGAAGTAATTGTACAATTTCATACTTCAATAGTTAGTATCTCAATCTGATTGCTATGACTATATGATGAGCTTTTGATCACCAGTTCTGGTTTAGTATATATTGCTTTTCCATTTTGTGAATGTGGTAATTCAATGACAAGGTTCAATCCCGGTATTTTTGGTCTAATGCTGGCCTCATCTCGGTGCGTTTCTTGGACACATAAAACATCGCACCTCTGTGACTTACAAAGTGAAGCAAGAAGCTCACCTTTAGTCACAGAAAACCCTTCGATATTTTGTGTTATGACATTAATTGCAGGTGGAAGTGGCCCTAAAAAGGGCCTTTTCGATTTTGAATGCCTAGACATTCTAGCACCGGTGTTGGTAAGATTAGTTCGCGATATTTTATCCTGGTATGGAGTCATATATCGCGATGCAGGGGACGCCACGTGCAGGCTCTTACCATGCCCCCTCCCCCCCCCCCATTGAATCACTAAGAGCATATTTTCATATGCCGTTTAACACGTTCACTGCCAATGACGACAACATGTCGGTAATACCCAGCCGATGACGATGTGTGATAAACATAGGAGGTTTTTGACTATAAATAAATTATTCGGCTATTGATTAACAATTTCAATTATTTGTGTGGCTAGTAAAGGTTTATAAATCGTTGTATGCAGTTTTTTTTTTGTTTTTCTCTTTTAATCGCAGAAAAACATTAATTTTCCTAACAAGTAGATAGTAATTTAAATTTAATTTAGTTTTTAATTTTACAATAAATGAGTGGCATCGATCGACAAGACTAGATGACATCTTATTACTCTTTTGAAAGAAAAAGTCTAAAGTGGTACAAAAAAAATCTGTTTTTATTTTCTTTATTTTATTGCTAATAAATTCATACTTTTTATAAAACAAACACGTGAAAAAATACCATTATACAAATACAGATTATCAACTATACAAAATGTTTTACCAAGTGATGAAAATATTCCAAATACCATTCATAAAACTAAAAACCTGATGACTTTCATTTTCCAAAAAAGTTCTAAAAAAAGAAAAGAAAAGGTATCTATACAAAAGATGTAAAATTTGTTATGATAAAAGTATTCGTAAAGATACAATTTATTACTGTGATCAATGCAATGGGGAGCCTAGTTTATGTTTAGAAAAATGTTTTGAAGAGTATCTTAATTAAATTTAAATTAATATCGTTTTAATTATATTTATTTTAATATTTTAATAAAAATAAATGAAGACAAAGAAAAGTCAAGTTAATTTTTTTTTAATAGGACTATTTATGTTTAGTGTAAACCTTATATAAATAAGTGGTTTGGAAAATTAATATTTTATTCTTATAAATTATCATAATAATATTAATCAGTCAATGATAAGAGTTGTATAATATATTATGATGACAACGCTTCATCTTATTTTGTAAAACCAGATTATTCACTCTGGCGAGTGGTGAATGACAAATAAAAATTAGTGGAGGCAAACATGTTTCAACAAATTTTTTTAGAAGTCTAAAGTCATTAGTGAACCATTAAAATCTATCCAATATTCTATAATAATTGATCTTTAATAATAAATACTATTTATTTTAAACCATATAATAAATCAGTTTTTATGTTGACTTTTTTTTTTTGTTTTTCACTCGTAGAAATCTTTTCAGTTCCACAATATTTAGATTCTGTCAGTTTTGTGAAGTACAATTCTTCTAATCTTCAGTCGTAAATATCCAGGGTAATTTCATTAAGTGTGATCACTCCATTATCACTCTTATACAATTAAATAGTTGTTTATTGCTGAAACTCTTGTGAACATTGTTTAAATGTCTGCAAAAAACAGAGGGTGATATTATTTATGAACCAAGGATATTCTTTTAATATATAAAATAAATAAGATAGGTGATGAGTGACTGTCTTTGAGGGGATTTCTAAAAATTTTCTTTGGAAAAATATAAATTGTACAAATTAAGGTTGGCTGTTTAATATATTATTGACTGGTTTAGTTAGGTGTGTGTCTAAGAACTTTCTAACAGTTTGCTAATTTGAATAAGTCCGAAAATCTGTTTGAATTTTTAATGTCACATTTGTCACCTTTTTTTGACAAATCAGGGTAATAACACTTATTTTCCAGATAGACAGGAAAGTCCCTTCATGTAATTTTTTATTCGAAAAAAAAATTAAATAGGTTATGGAATCTGATAGGTTTGCAAAAGGTAACCAGAAACTATCAGGGCCAGGAGACTTAAACTTCCTTTGTGAAAATCTTTAATTTTTTTACTGTAGACCACTTTTATCCTAGAAAACTAGCCCCGATGTAATAATGTAGCACCTTTTCTGAAAGTCAATTTTATCTACTTGGTAAATACATAGGTTATTTTTTCGAACATGTATTTAAAATAAAAAAACGATTATTAGGGGGGGGGGGAAATAAGAATTTTTCACTATTTCGTTACTTTAAATTAGTACCTACCACATTTTCTAGCACAAATATGGTTCCAATTGAAAAATGACGAGAGACCTTTTTTGTTTCATTATAAATCTTGTTTCTTATGGTGCAAATAGTTTTTTTGATTTCATAATGTTGTTGTAATTCGGTTAAAAATATTTATAGTGACTTAAATGGACAGAATGCTCACATTTCATTGTTTAAATTGCACCAGTGTATATTGCATATCATAAATTTGACAAAATATTGATAATTTCAGCTATAATTACTAGTAATTTATAATCTGAGAAATTTTCTGTCAGCTTAATGATTATACTGTTGTTGATGAAAATGATAACAGCACTTATTTGAATAGTAAAGTTGTGTTTCGGTGATTAAAGAAAAAATTCCGGTACTTCAAATGATGTATTACTGAACTGCGCTCGAAATCGTCTTACGTCAGCAATGGTTTATCGTTGCTTACAGATATAAATGAAATAACCTTATGTATCCTACCTTCCCAACTTCCCACCTGCAACAGTGGTTGCACCTATCCCCAGTATCAGCTCTTTATTATTACAAATTACATATTCATATATATACATACTATAGAAATTATTTAATAATACAAATAGAAAAATATGATATACACTAATTATTTATAAAATACATACATAACACATAATTTTTTTAAATTTATTATTTTGATCTTATTTAAAAAAAATTATCAATATTAGTTTGCTTCTTACTTATTATTGATTATTGATAAATGCATCCAAGTGCTTCCCTCATTACCTTGTCTAAGAAAAAATATTCTCAATGTTTCTAAAGATTTCTTTGCCTCCCATAGTCAGATTGGTAGATCTGGTTTTTCGTCTTTGTCTTAATCTGAATTATGTTTATCTTCTATTAATTGAATGATTGCATTATCAATGTTTACATTTTGATCATAGCATTGCACATTTGAATCCAGATGTTCAAATTCCACATTGTTCAGTACTCTTACGATATTATATTCTTTAGAATTTGGTTCTAATTGTTGATCTTCCAAAAAATCACACTTGCGAAAAATATTTTTATCATCCAATTGCTTTCATCACTCCAGCTGTCTGAAATTAGTTGAATTGCCTGCAGGATATTAATTTTTTTTACTGATATCTATTGCCGTTGATTGTGGTTGAAGTAAATTGTCTTCAATCTTTTCTAAAATGGAATTGGCTAGTGTTGCTCTATACTTAACCTTTAAATTTTGGATAACACCCATATCTAAAGGCTGAATTAGTGACGTTGTATTTGGAGATAAAAATTCAAGTTTGATGTTTTTCAAAGGTACATTAGGAGGAGCAGTACAGTTATCTAAGACGAGACATATAGACTTTTTTGTTTTGTCCAACTCTCTATCCTAACGTTTCGATTTGCGTGATACCTACACAACTGATAATTTTTTGTAAGTGATTTGTTGAAAACTTGTTTTTTTACTTTTCTCAATCACTAAGCTCTTTTGTTAGTCCCACTTAGTTATTTTATCCATAGCTTTTTTTTAATCCAGTTATCGATTCAGTTTTAAAACAGAACCATCTGAGGTTGCACTATAGTACAATACCGTTTCATCTATATTGAGAGAAAATTTTACAAGAACCTCTGGAAGTTTTATAAATGTCCATTCATCAGCACCATCTGATAAATTTTATGTCAGGTAATTTTAAATTTATTTGAATTGCTGGGTGGGAAGGAGCAATAGGGATTAACATTCATCTTAAAGATTGACAATTGTTTTTTAAACATTTGAAAATACCAGATCCAAAACATTTCCAGACAAATTAACCTTATGTTATTGAATAAATTTAACAATGAACAATTCTCTATAATAGAACTTCCTATCTAGGGTAAAATTAATTTTTTTTTTTTTTAATATTAGTAATTTTTAAAAGATTATTGAAGAAGGACACCCTTTTCCCCAGCCTCGGATCTGTTGTTGAATTCAATATAAATATCCTTTATAACACCATGTTCTATTTCAGTGCAGTCTTTAATGATGACTTTATTATTGATGAATGAAGGAGACTAATTTTTTAGTTTCACAAAAGACAATATAACTCTATCATCATCACTAGTACTGCCTAAAGTTCATTTGATTGGTTTTTTTCTAGATGTTGGTGAACAACCAAGTCTTGAAATATTGACAACTTTATCAGGATTAATGGAGCAATATGCAAACAACTCATTAACTTACTCAGTGTCAAATTTATGTGCTCTTTGACATTCATACTTAAAGACTCCTTAACACCATGAATATTGGTATTAAGTGAGCAATTTCGGATGTCTAAAACCTCATGCATAATTGCCTGATTAAATATATATAGAAATAAATCTGTCAAATAGGCCCTTTATTTTATGTTGTTAAGGTTGTTATGACGTTTTTATTTCTGTTTATTATTGTTTTTTTTATTTTAAATTATCATTTAATTTCTGTACTAAAAATTGCTAAAGCATTTAATTCCCTGTTTCGTCCCCTTTTAGTTTTATTTTCATGGTACAAAGTAGCCTATGTTATTCTCCAAGGTCCCATTTATCTATACCAAACAAATTATCTAAATTGGTTTAGCAGCTTAGGTATAAAAACGTAACAGACAGACTTACTTGTACATATTTTATAATATTAGTTGAAAATTAGAACTAGGATTTCTATTTATTTTGTTCGCTTTTTCTGCAGTCTGGTTTTTGACATTTTTATTTTTTTGTATATTTATTTAATTAGTGATAAAATATTAAAAACATATTTTTTCATAGTATGTAATATAAAAAAGTATATTGTTGTGTTGAGGTTTTGTAAACAATGCAAAAAAAATGGAATTAATATATATATATCTAATAATTCAGTTCAGGCATCGTATAGTTGTATGAATAAAGAAACAAATGTAGATAGGTATAAAAGGCTTAAACACTTATTATACCCTCCTTGTAATTGGATAATTAGACAATTTAGTATAGTTATTACCTGTATCTGTTTTAGCTTGGATCTACTATTGAAGAATCCGGCCATTCAACATTTATTGAATCTAATTTTTTATCAAATTCAACAAATACTAATGATTTCACTGTTAAAACTCAACCATTTTCTCAAAACGAATTAAAAATATCAATAAATTCTAATAGCATTACTAATCAAGGTACTTCAAGTCATTCATTTACTACAAATCTGGCAAATTTTAATAAATCTGAATCTGAATCCGATGATAATGATAATGATAATGATAATGATAATGATGATGGTGATGATGATGATGATGATGACGACGATGATGACGACAACATATCTTGCCAAGAAATAAGTTTCAAACAAGATATTATTTGTATATCGGACAGTGAAGAATCTATTAGTGATATTCAAGGGAGCTCAAATAATCATAGATTAAACAAGTTAAAACGCTACTGTACTATCTGTCAAAAGAGAGCATATTCTTACCATAAATGTTCATCAAATAACTCGGAATTTTCTACTTGTTTAGTACCTAACTGTAACATACTGTGTAGATCAATGGTAGATTTTGAACCACATTATCGACAACATATTGGTATGTCTTCTAGAGCAATTATGTGTAGGTTTTGTTTCAAAGAAGTACAACCCTCTGAACGTGATGTGAATGGTTTTCACACTCATTGCCATGTAGATAATATGTTTAAATGTTATATATGTAATATTATGTTTAACAACATATCTGAGTTTGCTTATCATAAACTAAAAACACATAATGGCCGTCTTATAAACGCTGCAGGAAACTATTTATGTTTTCATTGTGAAAAATCATCACCAGATTTATTGAATATTAATGAACACATTACACAATGCCTTGAAAATAATATGAAACATGAAGATGAGTTGGCACATGAAAAAAGTTATGCAGCAAATGTAAATGAAAAAATGATACGTAAAAGAAATATACTAGGAGAAAAGATCCCACCTTCATCACACAAAGTGCTTTTTACATGTTTGAAACCTAATTGTAATCTCATCTTTCAAAGTTTTCCTGTTTTTAAACATCATTACCGTGAGCACTTTGAAATCGGACATCAATATATGTGTTGGCAGTGTTGTATGCCTTTTTTCAATATAAACATTCTTCGAATTCACCAAGTGAAGGGTAACTGTCGTACTCCTGGCATGTTTAAATGCTTCTATTGCACTGAAAAATTTAATGATATCCAATGTTTAAGTATTCATAAATTTACCAAGCATAATGGCGTTTTAATATGTAAGAATAAACAGAACATTTTGTGTGCATTTTGTAAAATTACAACTGATATTGATAATTTCAAAAATCATTTGGTGGAATGTCAGTTAAAGAATGACAAAACAGTGGAACATACCACTTCAGTTCCAACAAGAAGTGTTATTAAAAAGCCAAAGTATAGTAATTTTAGTTGTGAACGTTGTACTAAAGTTTGTGTTACAGCAGCAGCTCTATCAAGTCATAAAAAAATACATGATCCTAATAGACAAAAAAAAAGTTTTAAAAACAAAATAAATAATTCGACTATACAGAGTGATGGACTTCATCATCAACCTGTTAACATTGCTGAAAATAAAGAAATGACTCAGAGTAATGATACCAGTCAAACTAACTATTTGAATGATTTATATTTTTGTGGTAATTGTCCTAAACAGTTTAATACTAGAAAAGGATTGGCAAAACATCGTTCTGTTTGTTCTAAATTAAAAAATATCCCTAAAAAAGACCCACCTAAAAAATATTATTGTACCAAGTGTAAAGAATATTTTACACATTCGGGTTTTGCGGAACATTGGAGAATTATTCATGGAATAAGACTAACTTCTAAACGACGGTGTCCTTGTAATAAATGTCCCTTTTTATTCATGTACAAAATAGCATTATTAATGCATAAAGAACATGTCCATGGTGAATTGCATAATACTTTAAATATTACTAATACCGATGCTGTTGATTGTGAAATTAAGATACCAGAACTGATGGCAAACAATGATGCTGAAGAAATTATGGATACTAATGAAAAAAACCTCAATGTCAAAACTGAATATCATGAAAATACGGATTCATTATTAAATATTAATGATCAATGCGAAGAGTCTGATGATAGAGAATTAGGAAATAGAATAAAAGATAATATGAATGGTCAAGATATCGGTAATAATAACGATAATATTAATATTGAAAATGGATCTCTGTGTGAAGTTCCAATTGTAAACCAAAGTACTTTTGAATCAAATGATTGTGAAATGACTTCAAAAGAACTACTCAATGATAAAGATAAATTGATTGCAGATAATGCAAATGAAATGAATGACAAAAATAAAGATACAACATTCAAAACAGAATTTGTCTACAGAAATATGATAATGAAGGATACTTCTCTAACAGAAGAAAATCAAATTGGTTTAGTTCAACCAATATCAATAAATGGTACCCAAAATATGAATGGCAATGAAAATGAAACCTCTAATCCAATAATTGCAAGTGATCATCAAAGAATTAACGAATAATAATTGTTCAATAGTTGACGTAAGTGAAAACTTAACTAAAAATGACCCAGAAATAACATGTTTGTTATTTGTTCTGTATTACTTGACTGATAAACCCTACAGACATTTTTTTTTAAATATTTAGGTAAATATCGATTATATTTACGATAGTATTAATGTTGTACTTAATATTAAGTATTCATTAAAATTAAAGTATTGAAAAAATTCTAGTGTACATTCTAATATACATAGGCAGATGCCTATGTATATTGGAATCTACATGTTTTGTTAAATGTATTTCTGAAAAAGTTATAAAACATTTTTTTATTTTATTATCATTATAAATTGTATTAAATAATTTATCTACTTAAGTTAATAATTAATAAAACTTAAATTAATAAAATTTTATTATGCACAGATAATATGATAAAGTGTATTTTTAAATTTAATATACATTTTGTATATAATCTAACACCGTTTGAATAATAATTATATTTGGTTGTAAATACTATTTATTAGTTTTTTTTTTTTTTTTTTTGTACATAATCTAACTTAATTCATTATTAATATTATTATTACTATTTTTTTTTATTTTTATTATTAGAACTATAATCTTTTTAGTATTAAAAAGTTACAATAAAACTACTTTTAATGTAATATTATCACAACCTTTAAGTGTATCTAATTAAAGAATTACTACAAATATTTTATTATGTATGAAAAATATAACATTTATTTTTTGCAATGTATGAACATGTATCATTTGATTACTTCCCCAAAAAATGTATATATTTAAATGTAAATAGTTGATTTTTAATTGTATAGCTATTTAATTTCCATTTAATCATAACTAGAGTAAATTGATATTAAAATATGCTTCAAAAAAAATATTCAAAAGTAAGAAATATTATACTTTGAAATATTTTGTCAATGTAGAAATAAATAATATTTTAATGCAATGCCAGATTACCTTTGAATTCCTAGAAATGTTGTATTATATGTATTTAATAAACAGGTACAACATTTAATAATTTTCATAGTATAAATCATAATAATTTAATTATATATACAGGGTATTCGACCATTATAAGAGTAAGTTCCATTATCTCTGAAAGTATTTTATTTTTATTTTTTGTTTTTTTCAGAACATTTAAGAAATAGGCAGTTCTATAATTTTATATATTTTCCGAGGGTAAAACCACTATATCAATCTCTATTTAAAATTGATGAAATGTTTAATGTCCATCAATCTGATGACGAGATATTCCACTTTTAAGTTTGGGTCAAGGGAAAGTAGTGTAGCGGCACGGCATCAGCGCTTTAATAATGTATCACTAATCTCTCCTGACTAATTGGAATAACTCATCAACTGATAAAAATCAAAAATTTCAACACAGACATTTATTTTAACTAATATTTCTATTAATGGGATTTCTATTATAGATTGCTATTTGACAATCAAATTAATGGTTTTACACCCCAAAAATAAGGGGTATAAAAAATAACTTAAATGTAAAATTATAGAGCTGTTTGTTTCTTAGATGTTCTGTAACACAAATTCTGAAAAAAAGTTAATACTTTCTAAGATAATGAATACTACAGCAGATTGATCACCCTGTGTATATATATATATATTTTAAATTGTTCACTTTTGAAGTTTTATTACTTAAAAGTAAACAGCTAATCATTCTAACTGAATATTACCTATTCTTATTTATATTTAATTATAGTATTTTGTTTAGGTTTTCTTTTAAAACATAAAAAATAAACTTATTATGTAAAACTGAAAAAATGTTCCAGTTATTTTATTATTTTTACTTTAATATTATACAACTTTTAAATTTAGTATCATTCGATTATATTTAGTTTTATAACTATTTTGTTTAAGTATTTATTTTTTTTTTATTTTTCTATACATAATTAAATATTTTAATTCCATAATATTATAGTAAGTATAATTATTGTATTTTTTAAACAAAATTGTATTAATTTATTATTTTTGGATCAATCGACGATCATTCACGCAGTAATAAGATTATATTTTGTTACTTAATGATAGTTTTACAAAACATTGATTTATAAAGCAGTAATTAGTTATTAAAAATTAAACTATTATCTTAATAGTAATCTAAGTTATATCAGTTTATTACATTGTAATTTGTGTGATTAAATAATAAATTCTGGTTTGAAAAATATCAGATTGATTTGTTTTATTTTATTTTAATAACTCTTTATTAAACATAAATTTTGTTTATTTAATATACTTTAACTAACACAGATATGAATCAACAAATTTTCAAATGGTAATTATTTGAAGTGTGTACTATTGTCTTCTTCTAATGGGGCTTATTACATATAAGGATGACGGATCCGACTGACAAATTTTGAAGGGCTATAAATAATGAATAGTAAAACTTGAAGAAAAATATATTGCTTTATTAAAATTGGTAGACAATCCCATATTTTTAGTTGTATATTGAAAAGTATATCTTTGTAGCAGGATAGCTGCCATCAGCAGAGGCAATCTCTGAAGTTCACATATGATATTCTGCACGTTTCTACAGGTATGACACAGGAGTATCTATAAACAATTTCTATTTGAAGCTGTTTTGCTCATATATGTTTTAATCGTGAGAACACAGCATTGTTTATGTAATGATAACAAATATTGTAATACAAATTTTAAAATTTTGTTTAACTTTTTTTTTCATTTATTTGAGTTTTAAGTATTTAAACAATATAATGAAGTGGCCTGTAAATAATTTGGATGGTCAGGCTAACCCCTTATCTATGTGCCTCATTGGAGCTAATTTTGAAGAACAAGATTATATGTCAGAATAATTGAAGTATATATATAGCGTACTATTTATTATACTATTATTATTAATTTAAAGTTTAGGTTTTCAAATGAAAATCTTCAGATGACTGTTAAATCTATTGATAATTTTATGGATATGGATTATAAAAATAATTAACATTTTATACATATTATAAAATGCATACATTATTACTTAGATAAGTAATTAAGTAACATTAAATAACTTGTTATAATTGTTTTATTTAAAAATATAGCTATGATTTCATAATATAATAAATTCTATCATTGAGTGCTTAAAATCAGAAATAATTTTGACAAAAACTAGCTTAACAATCACCAAAGATCAAGATGATATTAAACAAATTATAAATAAAGAAGATTTTTTTTTCTAAACTTAACCTCTACCTAGTTCAACAACATGCGAACATAGTTTTTCTTCTATGCAAATATTAAAAAATAGTATAATACAGCAAAGCTTTACTAATTTAATTATCATTAACATTGAGAGTCTTAGCAAATGAAATTGATATTGAAGAAATATTGATCAAATTAATTTCCATTAATATAAAATTATGTAACAAAGATGTCCTAGGATAATAGGACGGGTGCAACCACTGTTATAGATAATTTAATGTATACCTGTAAACAACAATAAACCATTGCATATGAGAAAAAACAAGTTCAGTTGATAGTGATGCTTTGTCAACAATATATATATATATGTCATTTTATAATAAAATAAATGAGCTTTATATATTTTCTTTAATAATGTTTGTTTAGTGGTTTACCGTTTTTCCCGGTTTTTGACATTTGCTGGGAAAACTCGGGAAATTCGAAAAATGACGTCTCTAAAGTACCACGCTAGTGAAATTTCTTTTTAGAAACATTGATACCATAAAAATTTGGAGCAAAACTGCTGGTTGAAAAGTTATGCACAGGAAAAAAAAATGGAATATTTTAGTAATGTATTTCGTACATTTTCCAGTTTTTTTTTTTCGGATTTTTAAATTTGATGAGAAAACTCTTTAGAAAATCGAAAAATAAACTGCCTTAAGTACCTCCCTATGCCGATTTCTTTACAGAAAAAGTGCTACACGTAGAAATTCGAACAATTCTGGTAAAAAAGTTGCGCACAGATAATAATAAAAAAAAAAATAAAGATCTTTGTAAAACTATAAGCTTCTTCGCTCTACTCAAAATCTAAAATTTAATATTAAAAGTAAAACGTATTAAATTGTCAATGCATTATGTTGAGTGTGGAGGGCGGAGTCTGCTACAGCTATGTGACAGTTTCAAAAATTGTACTATGTCTAGAATAGGTAAATATAAGTTTTTTGATATAATTTCTAAGTCTCTAGGAACATTTTAAACTGAATTACAATAAACGAAATTGAAAATAATAAAAACATTATTTTTGTAAATTTTCCCGTTTTACTCGTATTTAATGGTTTATCTATATTAATATCTTTATTTGATAATGAAAAGTAATAATGATTATTTAAAATAATACATAAACCGGTATATAGGTAAAAATAGGTAACAATATTCTCACTTATTAACTCTATTAGTTTAAGATATTCACTATTACTTTTTATACAAGTATAAGTCAATTTATTATTATAAGAGTAAGTACCAATCTTAAAGAAAAGACATTAGACAGTACCTATATAGAAGTAATCTACAACTGTTAACCAAATAATAGATCTATATTATAACTTCTTATTAAATTTGTTTTTCTCATAACAAAATTGGTTTAGGTGTAAACTATAATAGAAATGGGTTTCTATTATTTTTACATACTTAAAAATTGTACGTCAATTAATCTAACCTACAGTGATAAATAATTTATTTATTCTCTAAGATTTTTAACAGAACTAGCTGTACCTCACACAACCATTAGATATATTATATTATAATACTGTCCGGTTTTTGTGTATTATTAATAATCAATAATACAGTCAGATAATAAAATGTATTGATATATTATTATTATTTCTGCTTATACCATTTGTTGATATACAAAAAAAAAAAAATAAAAATAAGCTAATATAATAAAATACAAAACATTTTTTACTAACTGATAAGGAAATTGTTATCTCGTTGAGATTAGAGCCAATCGGTGTTTAGGTTACTATAAGGTTCTCTAACAATGTATGCATTGCTTATTCGACCGGCATAGTGAGGTATGGTTTTTTTCTATAGTTGGTACTGTTGTATGAGAAATCGTATGGACGCCGGGTACTTCGATTTCCACTCGTTTCATTGTCTCAGCGTCTGCACCCGTCACTCGTCAGCATTTATCATTGAAAACTGAATACATACAATACCTTGCTGTCTTTAAGCAATAAGCATGCTTTCATTTTTTGTTTATACTTTTGTTTACTGTTCAACAACGTACCATTTGTAAAATCCATTTTACGTTCACGTTAATACAAACACTGTTACGAAATAGGTAACACAACATTCGAAGAATACGACGCGTTGCCCAATACGGAATTCTTTTGACATTAATATGTCTGTGGTGGAGTCTACACTGCCTTTGCGGCAATGCAAGATGTGCAACGTTACCAAGAACCGTACGGAGCTTTTAAATATAATGGAAGTCGGCCCGGAAAAGGAAGATATATCTCATTTCATTAATATATTCTACAGAATATTACAAGTTAGTGTTATTGGCTGCACTTTTTTCAACTTATCGATCGTAGTCTGGGAACCATGTTCCCATCTTTTCCTTTTAATTTTTTACATTGGTTTGAGACGGGAACATCATAATTGTTCATGTGTATTTAGCAAGGGTGACCAAACGGTTGATTGTGGACGATTTCACTGTCGATCTCCCTTTGTTAGAATTATTTTTTTACATTATTTTGTATCTTCATTCTTAATAGGCATTCTCGTTTCGTATTACAAATAATCATGCGATTATTCATTGTCAGTTTGTCAAGCAATCAGTTTAATAATGTTATTATTGACAATTTTATTTTTGGTGTAATTAATTTATAGTATTATCTATATTAGTTCTAACACTTAAGCAGGCGCGTAGGGGTCTAATTGACCTGCCAAAAAAAACTAAACAAAAAAGCTTTTGTAGGATAATGGGGACAGGTGTAGTTAGTGTTGGTGGAAATTCTGGAAGGTAACATACAAAACAGAATTTAATGCATATCTGTAAGCAACGATAAACCATTGCTAATGAAAAAACGATTCTGTGCAGAGTTCTGTTGATAGTGATGTTTGTCTACAATACATATGTATTTAATAATTAAATAGGCATTATATATTTTCTTTAATAATATTTGTTTAATATTGATCCAATTTTTCCATTGTTCCTATGGTTTTCACATTTTTTGAGAAATTTGGGAAAATCCCATAATGATATCTCTAAAGTACTTGCCCTGTCAGATTTCCTTTTAGAAAAAGTGGTATCATTGTAAATCTGAGCAAAATTGTTGGTAGAAGTTGTTCACAGAAAAAAAAAAATTGTGAAACCATAAGTATATAATAATATAACATAGTTTTATATTTATTTTGTTATTACATTTTATCCATATTTACATATCATATGTTAATTCATTATGTTTTTGAATTTTAAAAAAATGAACTTCCTACAAATATTTATCTATTTCTTAAAATAGAAGACCCTCACATTATTATGAACACTAAAAACAGTCTCGCGCGTGACGAGTACTTCAAAACAATTTGTAAAACTAATAGGAAATTTTTGTTTTTCATAATTCAGAAAGAAAAATATATATTACATATGTCAAACAACAAATGAAAGTAATTAAGAACTTTTTTCTCATATTTTTATACTAAATAAATCTACTATCTAATTCTAACAAATGGAAAACATAACAAAAACTTGCTTACAACAGTAGAAATCGCTAAATTTTGGTTTTAGAGTTGAAATTATTCGAGAAAAATATTCCGAATGTTGAAACAATGTACCTATTTTTTTATTTTTTTTTATACTAAGTGCTGATATCAACAAAAAATATTTGTTTTCTGCACTGGGCGTGGACAACTTGTCATTATTTTCTTAGTTTTCCCAATAATACCAGACTATACTATCATTTATTCTTGCGCCTCCACATAGATAAGACCTCTTACATTATTAATAAATTTGTCATTGTTTAAAATTCCAGCTATTTTTATAATATTGATACTTAACCTTTTAGATCAAAAAAAAGTTTCGCACAGGGGGTCTCCCACTTCAACACATGCCGCAGTTAACATGTTAAATTACAGTAATTTAAAAATGTTGATATAGTTGTTATTTCTAAACGATTTATGGAGCATTATTGTAGGAATGATTTTAAAAAATGCATCGTCTTGCTCTTCGGAATTTATTTTTATTTTATATTATCTAGGTGCTTTTACTCTAAAATCAAAATTAAATAAGTTCTACTAAATTTGCTTAAAAATTACTTTGTATAAGTGAAGTAGCTACCTATGATCAGCTTAAGATCTTTTTTCTAGTAAAATTTGATTTAATCTATTTATGGTTTTAAACAAAATTGAAAAATTAAATCAAAAATACATTATATTTTTGCCAATACATAGTTTGAATTTTAATCTTTTTAACATTTCATGTTCCTTGATAACTTCAATTATCAATTAGGGGAAACACCAGATTGTACTTCTGATTGAAAGTCAAAGAACACCGATTTATTATAAAATTTAAAGCGTAACATAGAACATTAAAATAATTATTTAATAATATATGTTAATCATGATATTTTAATGTAATTATAGTAATATTTTTATTTTCCTAAATCCTTATTATATTTAATTATGAGTGATTTTTCATATAATTTTATATTGAATTTATTACAGTTATACATTATTTTCAAATAAAACTAAACAATTAATTAACCATATAATGAACAGGAACAAATGAAAAATAAAAAGATAAATGGTGAAAACATCATATAATTATGATAACAAATTTACATTGTCTTGCGTGCGCACCATTTAATTTGTTGATTGCTAATCTGATTCACTAAGTTATATTCACTATATTGAATATAAAATTACATTATTATTGAATAAAATAAAAAAAAAGTGGCCTTAAATGGTGACTCAACTCTATATTACCTATTGGTTAGACTAAAATAGTAGATATGATTGTGACATCTCATAATGTCTACATAGATGCATTATAATTTTATTTTGCTTTTCAAAAGAAAATTATAAATTTTTGTGTTGAATTTTGACAAATTTGTTGGTAACTAATTAAATATTGGCAATACTTAGATTTTATAAAAGAAAGTATAATATATATCATTGGTTTTCAAACTGTGGCGCGAGCTTTCAATAGTTGTGCCACGGTCTTTTGAAATTTTTTTTCTAAAATTGTAATAAACTATCAGTTATGGTCATCTGCTCTTTAAGTATGGAGTCTTAATTCTTTTAGTTATGATTTTTTTGAGTATGACTCTTCAATTTTTGTGTAAAATATTAAATAATGACCAAAAAAAAATGGTCACAGTGTATACTGAAAATGTGAAAAGTGAAGTGTGCTGTGGTAAATAAAGAAAATCATTAAGATATAGTGTTGCGAGCAACTAAAGTAAAAAATATACTGATGAAATTTTTATAAGCATCTATATTTATTTAATAGTAAAAATATTCAAATACTTTTATTAAATTCGTAAAATAGTCAGGTGCTCACAATAGATAGTAGATCTAGACTTGTCAGAAAATGTGTTGTTGACTGCCCATATTTATATTCAGACTAGATTTGCTTACTACAAGCTTTTCAATGAAAATATTGTATTGTCCTTTAGTAGTCACTGTAGTGACCTTTCACACAAGAGGGCTGTCGCATTTATATCTTTTAATCAACTTAAGAAATGTACACATAGGTATTATCTCTCTTCTTTTCTACTAAAGGCCTTGTTATTGCAAATCTGGTTCTCCACTCCTGTCTTTTTAACGCCAGTAATTTCATAAACATATATTGAGTACAGTTGGCTTTTCTCATCATTACTTCTATACAGTGTGTCCCACCATGTTCACCCGATTTTTCGAGAGCTGTTGATATTAAATATTTTTCAATTTTTTTTTTTTTTATCTATTTCTTTGAGAGGGATGTCAATTTGGAAAAGAATCAAATTTTTATTTTCATCTCCTAAATATAAAAAAAATAATTTTTATTTATTTACTTTACAAAATTTTCAAAATAGCCATTTTGTAAAAGATAATATTTAAACAATTTTAATATATCATACATTCATATCTGATGAATAGTTTCTTAGTAGAAGTAGTTTTAATTTCTAGAAAAATTGTGAAAACAATTAATTTGAATATTAATCAATGTCCCCCTCAAAGACAAACTGATTGAAAAAAAAAAAAATTGAATAATATTTAACATTATTAGCTCTAGGAAAATCCGTCAAACATGGTGGTACATCCTTTTTCGGTCTGCTTCTACTATTGTGTCCATTTATTCGTCCTTCAAATACATTTGTCATAAACGGGTTGTACCTCAGCAAGTGACCAAACATTTTTCCGCTTCCTTCTTTTATAATGTTTAACAGAATTTTTTTTTCTCCTACTTTGTTTATTATATCTGTTACTTTTCATTTCTATCCAATTGACTTTTAATAATCTCCACGTCCACATTTTTATGGCTTCCAACTTCTTCTTGTCCTGTTCATTGATGGTTCATGATTCACAACCATATAGTAGTATGCTTCATACAAAGTATTTCACAACATTTTTTCTCATCTTTATATTAAGTTTTTTGTTTATAAGCGACTGCCTTTTCTGCTCAAATGCTCTTTTTGCCATAACTATTATTTGTCTAATTTCTATTGAGCATCTACTTATTGCTGGTAAGCATACTTCCTAGGTATTTGAATTGTTTAACTTGTTCAATTAAGGTATTATGTCTAACTTCACTTGGGAAATTTCTTGCTTTAGTCATCATCATTGTTTTTGTTTTATTTACATTTATTTTCAGTTGATATACTCTTGTAATATTTTAGTAAGGATGATTAAAGAATTTTGAGTGACTTTTCCTGTCTCTGACATTAAAGCAATATTATCTGCAAATCGTATGCATTGGATTTTTTTACTATTCATGTTTATTCCTTTAGAATTTCTTTTATACATGTCTATGATTTCTTTTACAAATAATAAATTGAGTATATAGGGTGATAAAAAAACAACCTTGTCTTATGCACCTCTTTTAATTTTTGCTGTGGTATTATGTTCTCCAACCTCTTTTAAGGTCTCCTGTCTCTTGTATAAAAGCATTATTAATCATCTGTTGTAGGTATTATATGTTAAAATTATAATAATTCTAAATGCGCACATATGTATTATAATGATACCTATAAATTATTATTATTCTAAATAGAATCTTTTTTATTGCTGTGTGTTTCCCTATTATGACTAGTATGTAATGTAATTCTAAAAGATATTCTTGAGATTTGTCTGCTGATTTCAATAACCCATTCTCTGGAATGTAGCCATGATAGACTTGCCTTGAACTAACTCCCCTAGAATCCCCTACAACATACATATTTTAGATTCTGAGTTGAGCGAGGAATGTGTTGGTTTTATAGTGTTTATTTTTATTTTTTATCTGTGAACAATTTTTCTACCAGAAATCTTAATCAACTTTACAAACATAGCACTTTTTCTGAAAGGAAATCTAATTGGAGTGGTACATGCGTGGGGTCACTTTTTGATTTTCTCAAAAGTTTTCCCAATAAATGGGGAAAAAATGAAAAAATAGGTACAATATTAAACAAATATTATGAAAAAAAAAAAACTAATTATTTTTCCATAATATGACCTATATATTGTTGATAAAGCAACACTATCAACCAAACTTCGCTCAGAATCATTTTTAGTTTTTAGCAATGGTTAATTGTTGATTACATATGCACATTAAATTGTCTATAACATTGAATACACCTGTCTCCATCATCCTAGGACAGCTTATTTATTATATTTATTAAACGGGATAGATGACGCCCGTAACCACATATTTGTCTAAATGGAATAACAATCAGCGTGTTTCTAATTATTAGACTTGATGATCAATTATTTTAAAAATCAAATGTATTTATTTTGATGGTTCTCAGAAACTTCAGAAATATCAGGAACACCACAAAATATCTTTATTATAAGCATATACTTTACATTTTAATAATAATATATACATTTTAGGTACGCAAAGTTGCATATTCAGGTGATTTGTTATGTTTAAACTGCTTGAAACCCTTTGTGCGGTATCTAAGAAAAGGAAAACTATTGTTTGAATCTCACGATAAAATGCAACAAGTATGTTAACTTTTGTTTTTATGTATAGTCTAATGTGTACATTTTATTAAGTTTTAAAAATACTACGTACTCTACTGTTTCCCATATTTAATTAGCTATGTATTTTTTATTATCCTAAATTATTTCAAATTATATTAACTGAAATTACAAACATTCATCTTAAATTGATTTGTTTGATCTATTATGCTATTATTATTGTAACTAAATAATTGAAAAAACTAGAGAAAGTATTGTATTATAGTTATTTATTATAGAGTAGAAAAGAACTTAATAGTTCGCACACAAAACAAACAGACTAGACGGCGACAGAGTCGAGCCGGTTAACCTTAGATTTAATATAAAATAGTATCAAAGGGAATAATTTGGTATCTCAGCAATTATTATAATTCAAACTATATATTTTATAATCTATAGCTAACAAAAAAAGTAAAATAAAATAAATATAACTTGATTATTTAGGATTTATTCTTATAGGTTGATATCGAGTTGCAGTAGGGATCAAAACTTATAAAGAAAATTGAGTTTTGGTCAGATTATCTTAATTAGGTATGTTTTTGAATCATAGTATACAAAAATGTTTATTAGTTACATTTAAAATACAAATAATATAGATAATTAAAATTATACTCAAGATTAAACTGAGTCATATTTGTATAATACACATTTCACGAATGTCAACAAATCAATTTTTTTTCCAAATATTGTTTGATTTCATTTTTAATAAATTTCTGACAGACACAAAGTTTTTGTTACTTTCCAAATCTACTGAATTGATTTTATCATATATTGTATCAATTTTATTGTTTTTGACAAACTTTAAAAATTAAAATATGTTCGGATGTGGTGTTCGGTTCTTAGTTTTGAATTTAGAGTTAAAAGCTATACTTTTTATTTAATAATACTATATTAATATTTTAACTATATTATAATGTGTAACTATCATAATAATTGTATTTTAAATGTACCTTATAAAAGTTTTCATAACTATGATTCAAAAACATACCTAATTAAAATAATTTGACCTCAACTCTGATTCTTTTTTTTTTACCCATTTTAATCTCTACGGCAATTCATCTATCGCAACCACAACTCGGGCATTCCCATTTCTATGATAATGTTGCACATTTAATTTTCATGTATTATTTTTAAACTATTAATAACTTCTACAAAGTTTCCGTATGTTAAAATAATTTTGTAAATTATAGTTTAGAAATAGTTAGTTTTAAGTTATAGCAAAGTTATTGTTTGCTTTCAAATTGGTTATGAGTTTATTTCAAGTAATTGCAAATATTCTATACCTGTAATTAAATTGTATACTTAATTTACTTTATTTTTTGTTTATATATATATAATAGGTTAAATATCTTTCTCAGACTGCTTTATCTGAATCCCGTTCAAATAACAACCTCCATATAGAATCGGATTTTGACCCAATTGCAGAATCATCATTGGAGGAACAAATTGCTGGACCATCTGGGGCATCAAGTGCAGGCTCATCTAGGTCACCAATTACAGACTTTTTATTGGAACAGATTGCTGGACCATCTGGGACATCAAATGCAGGCTCATCTAGGTCACCAATTACAGACTCTTTATTGGAATTGATTGCTGGACCATCTGAGATATCAAGTGCAGACTCATACAATACACCGATTACAGACTCTTCATTGGAACAAATAGCTGGACCATCTGGGGTATCAAGTGCAGACTCATACAATACACCGATTACAGACTCTTCATTGGAACAAATTGCTGGACCATCTGGGACATCAAGTGCAGGCTCATACAAGACACCAATTACAGACTCTTTATCGGAACAGATTGCTGGACCATCTGGGACATCAAATGCAGGCTCATACAAGACACCAATTACAGTCTCTTTATCGGAACAGATTCCTGGACCATCTGGGACATCAAATGCAGGCTCATACAAGACACCAATTACAGTCTCTTTATCGGAACAGATTGCTGGACCATCTGGGACATCAAATGCAGGCTCATACAAGACACCAATTACAGACTCTTTATCGGAACAAATTCCTGGACCATCATTACATTCAGAGCCATTTAGGGCAACCATTGCAAAACCATCAATCAATAGTTCTTTAAAGAGATTTTCTAATCCTGATACTGATGTAGTAGTGAATCAAAAAAAAAGAAAAACTAGAAATTTCAATAATACATGTCCATTTTGTCATTCTCAAGATGTCAATAATCGAGATTTTCAATTTGACAGTACAACAAAACTATGTAGTAGACATTCCCAGCCTTACACATGTCTTTTAAAGGATTGTAAAATTGTGTTTCCAAACAGAGATGTTTTCATACCGCATTACCGTTCTCATTTGAAACTCACAAAACAGACTTATTTATGTCGTACATGCTTTGCAGTTTTAGGTTGTTCAAGAAATGTTAAGCGTGACTCTCATAAGCACCAAGATAAATCAAAATTGTATTGTTGTTGTTCTGACACATTTTTATCAATGACTGATTTCGTATTTCACAAATTACTAAATCATTCTTTGGAAGTTACAGTTATAATGAGGCATGGTCAAATGAAAGAATACAGTAATGGTGATCGTCCACTAAATCCTTTGTATGCTACAACAATGACAAAAAATACACAATGTAAACAAACAAGTATTCAATTATTTACATGCACTGTAGAGTATTGTGGTAGAGTGTTTGACACAGTATCCGCCAATGTTGAGCATTTCAGAGAACATGCTAAAATACCTGTGACATGTTCCGTATGTAGTATTTGTTTGTTGCAGAGTAATATTCCTGATTTTCAATTAAAGTGTAACCATATAAATTCTCAAATAGCATGTAAGATTTGTAATTGTGGTTTTGAGACATTGCACGAACTAGCATTGCATAAGTTTACCAATCATTTATCAGTCATATTATGTGGTCCAGACAAAGTCCAAGGTTGTACGGTTTGTGGTATAATATTTAAAAGATACGAAAACCCATTTGACCATTATATTAGTAAGTGTTTTTCATATGAAGATTGGGATTTGAAATCTAATAAATCAGAAAAAAATGAACAATCTTTTGATTCTGTAACAAAACAAAGTTTTCACGCTAATTTCAAATTTGGCGGAAGTTATATTTGCATAGATTGTGGTGTTAATTTTTATTCGTTAAATTTGTATCTTGCACATGTTAAAAAACATGGTCAAGCATATCATTCAAGGGATCTTTATAACATAATACTGTGTCCTATATGTGACAAAAATTATGATCGAAGTGGCTTTCTGAATCATCTTGTGAGTTGCACACGTGGCATGCAACTTACTGAAAACACTTTTGGATGTGCACAGTGCCGAAAGAGACTTTTGATTTCAGAACCCTGGAGATTCCGTGTTCATTATTTGTTTTGTAAGTCATTTGAAACAATAAATGATGATAGCGATAAACCATGTTATAAATGCCTCAATTGTACTTTTAAAAGCAATAATTTATTATTATGTTTAGGGCATAGTAGTGCGATTTGTATTTATTTTAGATTGAAAATGAGGTACTCAATGAGTATGGATGAAGTAAAAAAAGTTGAAAACCGAAAAAAGGAAATATTTAAATATAGTCAAATTGATCTTAAACCTCAAAATGAATATAAGCACTTTTTCAATCCAAAATGTTGCAATCGAAATAGACAAAAGTTACTTGATTCATTTGAGTACTATTGCATGTTTTGCAAGAAAGGATTTTATTCAGACTTAATATTTAAACAACATTTAAATGTTCATGGTTATTCGTGTAGGCCATTAAATATTGTATACTGTAGATACTGTGTGTGTGATTTTGATAGCATTGATCATTTTACTTCACATGCTTCTGGTATGTCGATTGATCTGCCAATAGAACCAACAATCCACAGACCAATTAAATGTGAAGAAATAGATGATGAAAATTTAACTACAGATCTTGAAATATCAACTGGAGATGTTCAAATACCAACTGAGGATGTTAAAATACCAACTGGGGATGTTCAAATGTCAACTGGAGATGTTCAAATGTCAACTGGAGATGTTCAAATATCAACTGGAGGTACTGATATATTAACACCAAATGATATAATTACTACTGTAGAAAAGTTTGTATATAACTATTCCAAAATACCAAATTATTCTACTACCGTTTATTTAGATTTATTAAAAGAATCTGAAGATTCTGATGATGCTGATACAGGTTCTTTTAATGATCTTTTAATAAAACATGAACTTTTAGAAGAAGAAAAGGTATCTCGTAAGAAGAATCGCGTGAAATCAGGCAATGGAATTGTGGAATATACTTTGGAAGAAGAGGAAGAAATTACTATCGACGAAGATCAAAAACCTGATTTAAGTAGATTAAATTGCGATAGTGACTAAATTTGTCTGATTTTTGTTAAATTTTAGGATGCCTATAAAAATTGTGTAATTTGAAATCTATTGGATGAATATCGCATTTAAGCCCACTAAATGGTATAAAATGTATTATTATTATTATCTTTATTTTTTCTCTCTCTATAGATAATATTAGTGTTAGTTAAATTAGTTAAATTAGCTAAATACTTATAAGCATATTACTATAAGTTTTTTTTTTTAAATATAGTTTTATAAATAATATAAAAATATGATTCACTTTTAAAAAGCACCAAGGGCTAGTTCTACTACTTCATGTACTACTATAGTTTATATTCAATTATAACATAATTCAGTGGTTTTTCAATCTGTGCGTCGTGGCTGCCAGGGGCGTCAAGGTTTAGTATCAAGGGAGCCGCATGTAGAGTAATACAGTAAATTAATTTATATTAATTTTTATAACATTTGCATTATTTGTAAGTCGTTAATTTGGATTTCAAAATCAGAAGAGCTGCGGCCCTAAAAAGATTGAAAACTACTGATATAATGCATATTATTATTATGATATTGATTATTTCATTTATATAGACTATATAGGTGTATAATTTATAAAAATAACATTATATAGCTAATTATATTTACATTATTTACATGCATGATTAAAATACATTGTAACATAATTATAATATTCAACTTCTACACTTATTATACAAATTTATATCTAATGTATTGCTATTAAGTCAATTTCCCTAAGAGTAAATTGACAGAATTTGAAAACTTTAGTATGTATTTTTTTATATATGTACTGCATCCATGTAATAATATAATAAACATATAAAATAAAACAAAAAATTGTGTGGAGTTTAATAATATATTATATTATATTGTTTGTACTTAGAACCAGTTTTGATAAAAAAAAAAAAATTATATTTTCTTTGCTTAATGTTCTAGAAAAATGGACAAATTTACAATGCGAGTAATTTTATTATTAAACATTTTTTCGATTTTGTTTTTCTACCAGGAATTTGCACCGAAATGCAAGTGAAGTGTGTTATCTGAAAGAGTTTTAAGACAATTTTTTTCACCATCATTTTTTATTAATAATTAGTAAAAAAAAAATCTAGGAAAGACTGGTAAGTTTACAAACAATTTAATGGTATCATTATTTTCGATTTTGAATGGAACGAAGAAGCGTATGGTTTTACAAAGATAATTTCTTTTTTCTGTGGACAATTTTGTACCAGAAATCTTCCTCTGATTTTTATGTATAACACTTTCTAAAAGGAAATCTTACTGGGAAGGTACTTTAGGTAGGTCATTTTTGAAAACAGGAAAATCAGTCCAATATTTAAGAAAATATATAATGCCTATTTAATTGTTTTAACATAATATGGCATATATATCTTTGACAAAACATCACTAAAAACTGAACTCTACTTAGAAGTGTTTTTGTTAGCAATGGTTTATTGTTGCTTACAGATATACATTAAATGCCCTTCTGTATCCTACCATCCCAACTTCCCACTTGCAACAGTAGCTGCACTCGTCCTTATTATATTAGGACAGTTATTTTTCTTGTAATTTTGTTAAAAATAAATATAAGGATCTGCAATTTTTACAAAATACTTATGTAGGTTTTTTTTTACATATGATTTAATATCAAATTTTGACAAAATGACAGCTTTACAAAGCATCTATAACCGAACATTTCTCAGAATCGTTTTTGTTATTAATGGTTTATTGTTGCATAAATGGGTTTGAATATATTTCGAATTTGTTTAGTATATTGTAAATGTGCAGTGATAATTATGTTTACCAACCTTCAAATTAACCCTTATTGAGAGAAGTTTTGTGCATCACAATGATGAAAATAAAAATAAAAATGATTACACATAGGTATCTAATTAATTTAATATAAAGTGAATTTTATGTAGTTTTTCGTATCTAAACACCATAAATAGTATGGCATTAATCTCAACATCCTCTAAATGCGGTTTAGTAGCAAGTATACACTCATAGTTTTGTAGAATATAGTGTAAAGTATAAAATTTAAAGTGTATCCAATATTATAATAAAAATATAGTTCATCAATCAATTGAAAAGTTTGGATAAAGAATAATTTCCAATATTTTTTTAGAAATATTACAAGTAGTATGCAATTTCAATTTTTAATTCACCAGTTAGAATCTCAACACCAAAATTGTAACATGGAAACTCTAGGCTTTATAAATTACATTTTTTTATTTAATTATAAATAAATCTACATTTGAAACGTATAGATAATATCAGGACTAATCAATAAGGAAAATCAAAACTTGTAGCAAATAAATTAAATTAATTGATTTACTATTTAGTAAAAATCAATATTATTGTTACATAATGTAGTAATAATTTGTTGGTAGGTACCTTAATCTATAGATCACGTAAATATAATATACATACATAATATATACAGGGTGATTCACTAATTGTGCTCATGCTATTTTTTTTGGATAAAGTTTTCATAACATTTAAGGAGTATTCTATGGTGATACTAACTTCAGTTTTTCGAATGAGAACCTATATATTAAAAATTCCATTGACATCAAAATTTATCCAAAGTAATAAAAATGTTAATAAATGTTTTGTTGTAAAATCATTGAAGCTGATTTAATTTAGAATATAGGATGGTATTGGCGCTGAACTAATGTTTTATATGTGACAATAAACATTAATTTATACCTACCAACCTCTACACGGTATTAAACCTAAGCCGTGGGGGCCATGACTTTCCCTGGCGCCGCCACAGACTGAGCTAATAAATATAATTTTGGGAGTTTTTCCCATGACTTTTATTCGGTAGGTAGGTATTTTGATAAAATTGTTAGACCAAACAGAAATTCTTGATAATTTAATTCAGCGTAAACATTGTTTATGTATGTTACCCGGTAGTCGGACTGAGACAGTAGATGTAGGTATAACGTCCTCTTAACGCGGCCCTGAGCATATTCCAACCAATTGAACGTTCCATAGAATTTACTATTAAAAGCTCGATCTTGAGTTTTTTTAAATTTTTTTCAAAAGCATACTTCCCCTTTGGCTCCATTTCCCCGCTCCCTCACAGATGAGAACATACACACACACACACACACACAAATTCAAATATTTCGCTAGTATGGTACTGAAACTGAGAATTTGCGCGATGAAAGAATATATCATCAGCGTATATATCCGTCGGCGTTTCTTTGAGGAACATACATTGGAACAAATATTTTGTGATTAGTGAACATATTTCTTCCAATACACTCATGTTCCGCAAATGTTTCTTTCAATGGACTTTTGTTTTACGATACTTTGTTCCACAAAATATAATTTAGAACAAACGTTTTATGGAACAAATGATTTTGGAAGAAATGTTTATGCTAACAAATGGCTTGTGACACAAATATACTGTAGAACAAATATTTGAACACTTCTTCCAAAATCATTTGTTTCAATGACTATTTGTTCCAAAATTATTTGTTCTAATGATCAATTGTTCCACAAAATAATTTTCCCACACATTTTTGAAACAAATGGTTATTGGAACAAATATAGGCCCAGCCCACCCATTTTGCGAAGTATGCCCGTCTTTTAGATTCTGAGTGGAGCGAAGAAGTTTATGGTTTTACAAAAATGTTTTTTTTTTTTATTTGTGTGTTACCAGGAAACTTGCTCAGATTTCTAAATGTAGCACCTCTTCTGAAAGGAAATTGGTGTGGGGAGTTACTTTAAGGAGGTTATTTTTCGATTTTCTCAGGCGTTTTCTCATCATATTTGAAAAACTGAAAAAAAAAGGAAAATTAAAAAATGTAGTTGTTTAGTCTGTCATCGCGACCAAAGGTCGTTTTACCTGTAATACCCGCGTACCCTGCACGCCGAGGCCCAATCGAATAAATGCACAACGACTGCGGAACCAACTTTGTAGTCGCATCCAAGTTACTCAAAACCGTAAACCACTTTACGGAATCGACAGAGCACCAAGAGAATTGCCGAAAATTTATTACAGTGTGTAATGTCAGCTGGCATTTTAACACACCGTCCGCGCCTTACTTTGGAGGTATGTGGGAAGCCAGTGTAAAATCGCCAAGACGTTACTTCGCAGGACTCTGGGTCTCCAACAACTCACGTATGAAGAACTTATGACGTTGTAAAATCGGATCAAGAGTTTTCTTATCAAGTATGAAAAATCGAAAAAAAAACGAGATAATGTACGAAATATATTAATAAAATATTGTGGTTTTTTTTCTGTGGAAAACTTTTCTACAAGTAATTTTGCTCCATTTTATAATGATAACAATGTGTCTAAAAGTTAATTTTACCGGAGAGGTACTTTAAAGATGTCGTTTTTCGATATTTTCTAAAGTTTTCTCAACAAATCTGAAAAACCGAAAAAAAAACGGGATTTATTTTAATTTTAGAATTGTTATAATTAGTATTTTACCATAATTTGACATATATACTGTTGACAAAGCAGTACTATCAACTGAATTCCGCTCAGAATCGTTTTTCGTTAGCAATGGTTTGTCGTTGCTTACAAGTTGCTTACAATTACTTATAACAGTGGCTGCACCTGATCCCATTATCCTAGGACGTCTTGTTTTTTCTAATATAAATTCCGTACCTACTCGTAGTTCATACAAATAATAAATACATACAGCATTGTAAATTCAATACTTACATGCATCACTCTGCTCAGTACTTATCTAAAATTATACATGTAATCATTAAAAATACTAAATTCTTCATTTCTCTTTTGCCTTCATTAAAAAACTTAATTAAAAATACACGAGTGAGGCACCAATGCTCTGCTCAGAAATCCGTAGATATTATGCCAGCGCTTGGCAACAGTATTTTTACTGAAACAATGTGGATGTTCTTTTAGAACCCGTCTCGAAATAGAAACAAATAGTACTTGAGATTTGGGAGGGGAGCTGAAATCTGAGATCTCAGCATTTGTGGTAGTAATAACCACCTAAAAAGTTGTCTTCACTATGATCCGTTTCAAATATAAACACCAAAACAGTTACACAGGTTTCCCATTTCCCACGACTTACTACTTGCCAAGTACGCCAATAATTGTACATTGGACAAGTGAGGTTAGGTAACTAACTTTAATTTGAGTCTTGACTAATAATTTAATTATTATTGTTATTACTGAACAGTATAAATATCAACCATCATGCACATACCTACTTATGCAAATGTAAAATAAAAGTTACACTCTTGATACTGAAACCTTTTTTATGAGTTTTGGGGGCTGTATACATTTTGAAAATGCAATTACTAATTTGTATTATTAAAATAACAATTTATTGCCATAGGTTTTAAGTGAATTGTGTGAAATGCGGGGGCAAATGTAATGTATTACTTCGTTTAGATGTTATTGAAGAACAATAACTATTAAACTGTTCAAACTATAGTGAAATGTAAGTTATAGTTACAAGTTACAACAAGTTAAGGTAAGTTAATCTAAACTCAATAAAAAAAGTTTTCAACCATTTTTTGATTGGGGTAAGATTTTGATAGAAAAGTTATTCACAGGCAAAAAAAACACATTATGGTACAACTATACGTTCCCCACTACGCTCAGAATTTTTCACTCACATGACCAATGGAAACCAGATATAAGTAAAACAAATTGCGGTGATTCATTTGTATATATACAGAGTGATCAATCTATCGTAAGCCATTGATTATTTCGTGAAATTCTATATTTTTTTGGAATTTGTTTCATAGAACATTTAAGATACAAGCTGCTCTACAATAATATTATTAACACAAAAATATACAGTCCATAGTGTATAAATACTAATAA